GGGCGAGACCGTTTTTTCTGAGGGCCGGCCAGTTGGATAATGTCCCGACCGGCTTCACTTTCCCCCCTTTCGCTTCTTGATTCAAGATCTCTGGGAATATGGTGGATGGTATGGACGTCAGAGGGTGTGTTGACTCTCCCAGAGTGACGTCGACAGGTGTGGAGTGTAGTCTAGGTGGTTGGTGATTTTGCATCACAGTGAAGCAGTTCAAGTCTGTCGAGAAAGGCTGGTTTCTAGATAGCCTTGACGTTTCATTTCTAATATCCTATGAGAACATAAATTTTTCAAGATTGTTGTGAAAAACTCGAAGTTCGTTACAGGTATTGGACAAATGAGATCCGTAACCTATACCATCTGCTGTCTTATAACAAGACTGATGAGGCTTCGCCCAAGTCATGATGCTCCCATCAAACTATTGTGTAGAGACCTGGCTTGGTTATCATAATGCCAGTCCTACCAGCCGCTGTGGTGCCATAGTCTACCGGCCTTTAGAAACCACCGCCGTGCATTCCTATCCCTTGTGCATTCATCGTTGCGTACGCCGGCGGTGTCTTGCCGAACTTCCCAGCACTAAGAAGTCGCGATGTCTCTGCTTAGATAGACTCCGCGATGTTGATGTTCCCGGTCTCACTAAGAGACGGAAACCACACCCACTGATGTTATTTCTTTGGCGATTTCGACCCAGAAGCTTTCCGATCTTCTTGGATAAAATGTTCGGTCCACTTCCTCCTCCATACTTCACGGTCCTCCCAAGGCTCTTTTGTTGGTGTTTCTTCCTGTTCCTTGGGCACCTCTTGAGGAATGGACGCCATGTTGTGATCGAGCGAGTGAATGAGAGAGTTGAGCCGCGGTAGAAGCTGACCGCGAAAGTATTTGGATGTTTTGCGAGTACGTTGTAGTTGCGTGTGACATATCTCGCACGGCATCCAGCCCCAGTACATGTAATTGCGAGTCGGCTTTGTCGTCGGCACCACGGGATGTCCACAGTCGCACCGCATGCTCACCCTACACCAAGGGCAGTGCGGCTCATCGACGCTGGCGACGCCAAGCCAGTGTTGTATGCAGTCGCCGCCGAAGCGGTGGCCGCAGGGGAGATATCGCCAGACCTCCTTGTCGCCCTCCTCCTTAGCCTCGCCTACTTTTTCGTAACATATTGCGCAGCAGGTGTCGTCGGCAGCGGGATTCGAAGCCATCTCCTGCTTCCGCATAACAGATTTGAAAATGTTCATCGTCTCCAGCGGAAAAGGGACATGGAATTCGCTATAAGACCCAGCGTCGGAAACAAGAAAAACTTGCTAGAGGAGAACGAGTCCGGATTAACCGAAGCCTTTGTTGCTAGACCAAACGGCGGTCGAACAGTGATGAACAAAGACGATGAGGAACATAACAAAGAAGGGAAAAGGAATACAAACACCCGGACAGGAAGAGCCACTGACTTTAGGAAAGCTAATCGTGCCTTGCAGATGGATGGCTCGACATTGACCTCCGCCGTTGGACCATTCCGGATCCTCTACCGGGTCAGCCATGTCTTTCTCAGGAAAAAAGGCATGGTGCACGGAGCCATACCTTGAGTACAAGGTGTGCCGCCGACTCGCTGGGCTATGCTTGACATGTGCGCTGGCGGCATTTAGTCTTGGTCCGACCTTTCTGGGAAACATGGAGCATTGGCTGGAGAGCGTGTGACGCTTGACGCTTGTCAGAAGGAATGCGTGCCCCTCTTCCCAGTCCTCCAGGAGGAGGAACCATTTCGGTGCTGCTGACCTCCACCAACTTCATCCCACTCCTTACCACACTAAACAAGAGTAAGATGCCATGCTGAGGAGGGGCAGAAGGGAAAAAAGAAAAAAAAAGGATAGAAGAGCCGCCGTCTCCGACAGCGAAAGAGAGAAACATGACAGGCCAAGCTAGGTAGGGTGTAGAGACCTGCAGGACGGAAACACGGGCGCCTGAGCGGTGCTTGTTTCGGACATGTGGTTGCGCCTGACCCCAACTCAGACCAAACAGAGCAGAGATGGAGCGAGACAGTCGACCAAAGTGAGGCAGGTTGGCAGGCGGCATAAGGTTCAACTGATGTTGATTTCAGCATTGAAATGTATGCAGTTTTAGCCACACCTTATCGCCACTTGATTCCCACGTTTGCCGAATGCCTGCCTTAGTAATGCGGAACCAGAACTTGAACTTGGATGGGTACGAAGTACGAGATCCGGGTCGCTCGACATGGCAGACTTTCCTGGAATAAGCGATTGCCGAGACATCGCGGGCTTAGCCTCTTGGTGACAGGCTGGCTAGATCGGCCAACTCGGCCGAAGACTTACCAGTTCGCGTGTCCATGTCCATCCACCACCTGCGTTGCATGCAGGCGGAAGAAAACGAGGTTTTATGCGGCAGCAAGGCATGCGTATGATGGAAAGGTAAGGCGAATCTTCAGCCGAGTGTCCTCGTGGCCGGTAACGGGGCTAGGCATCCAGTACATGGAAGCGAGGCTGAAGTGCGTATTAGATTGAAGACTACCGCCTATTACCAGCTCCATCATCTTCATCGTCACTGTCATCTCTAAAGCCCTCTTCCAGGCTGGCACAGAGACACGTGTGTCAGTTACGAGGCTAGGCGACAGGAAAGATAAAATACGAAGGCGGGGAGCATTGCTCGACTTACTCTCGGCTCAAGCGCCTCGTGCTGTCATGCCTGTCTCGCCGAGCATCTTCTGTCAGAGCTCTCCGGGTATCTTCACCAACCTCCCCAAGCTCCTCGCCGTCTTCTGACGAATAACCGTCTTCGGAAGCGTCGGCCGCGATGACGAGTCGTTCATGAGCATTCCGCCGCCAGGTTGACGGGACCATCATCCTTGCAATCGCATTTTGCACGCGGTGTCGTAATGACACAGTCGAGGTCGATATGGTATCGAGAGGCAGATATTGGCTATAGCGACTGCGCCATCTGCGCCAGAGCGGAAGGGCAACGTAGGTCGAAACGAGGAAAAGAATGAGCGAGATGATGGCAGGCACGATCAAGGTCTAGACATATGACGACAGAAGGTTAGCTCGGGAGATACATCGGGAGACAATCGCGGAAAGAGATAGAAGCTTGATTGCAGAGGATGGAAGCGCACCTTAATGACTGACATCGTGGTGCCCATGGTGGGCCTGGCGGTGATGTCGCGTAGAAATTTGTCGACCTTGCGTCCTGCTGGGAAAGAGTTCCCGGGGTTACGATGTTGAGCTGAATGATGACAAGGCTACGATTATCAGCAAGCTTAGCTGAGAACTGCCCCCGGCGAGCGCGGACGAAGCCAGGCTAAAGCCAACAGAGGCGTCCTGTCAAGCTGTCTGCCCAGGTGGTGTTGACGTGACACGGAGCAAAGCAGCAGAGCAACACAGTGGAGGTTGACAGGCATACGCAATCAAGAAGCCACTTGGCCCCGGCCGGCACCAGGTATGGCTGCTAGGTGCTCCATACCCAGGTACGGATGGAGGACACAGGCCACATGAACCTTGATGGGCCTACTACAAAAGCTGTCGATTGCGCGCATCCTGCTAAAAAGTGGTCGGGCGGGTACCTTAGGTACCTTACCTGCCCGTACCTGACACTGACAGAGACGCTTTCGATAGTTCTGTTCACTTAAGGTAACGCCTTTTAGCATGCAGCGCGCAGATGTGTCGCGAGTGACTGGGAACTGATTTTTACCATGATATCTCTTTGGGTGCGGTACTGTCATATTTCTCCTTCTCCTCAGTGCATACCTACAGTTTACAGACGTTGATGAGTATCCATAATATGTATCCGTATTCCGTTCCTTACTTACCTAAGTTGGCAGGTGAGGTCCATTGTTCAAAAGGTCGAGTCGCGGGACTGACTTGAGCGCGGACTCCCCGGGACCCTTATCTGACATACTCAAGCGAGAGCCGAAGATAAGACACCTCGAGAAATGGCACCATTCAGGACCACCGTGCTACTGTGGGATTGCCGTTGATGTTTCTATTCCTGCATCAACAAAGCAACGCTTCGTGAAAATACCAGTCTCGTACGATATCGACAGGCAAGCCACAAACGAGCCTAATGAGCAAATGCCCAAAGTTTGCTCTATTACTCCTCTACCAGGTAGTGTAAGCAGACAGGTCGTCGTAATACGGTAATAGTCGAGGCTCCCGAGATTTTCGATCAAATATCGCTTACGGTGCTGGGCCTCAATGGTGGACCGCCCGGGACGATGCCTTGTCACCCCACCGCCACCTTTCCATGTGGAGGTACATGGTTCGAGAGGGCTCTCTGGCTCAAAACGGACAAACAGGGCAAGCATTGTAATTGGGCCTCAGGGTTCTTGTCGCCATCTTTAGCATCAGCACCACCGTAACGGAGGGTCTGCGGAAGGGTTAGGGGAGCCTGGGGACTCGGGGAGGGACCAGCCCGCCCATACTTTAGGAACCCGCCCAATGAGGGGGGTCCGTTAGGCCTTTGCATGGGCAGTCTAGAGATCCCTCGCAAGGAGAGTGCGAGTGTTGGCTCTTTTGGGCGTTTACAGACGGACGAATGCGAAGAAGAGATTGCAAGATGAAGAATCGACTACCATCTGAGGTGTGAAGGTACTCCAAGTTCTCGCCCATGCGACTGGCTGAAGCGCCAAATGTGAATGAATGAGCGTCGGCGATAAGGCAAGGTAGAGAACCTCCCTAGGCAATGGAAGGCTTAAGTTCTCTCTCGAGAAGCTGCTTGACGTATTCGTTGGCGAATCCAGCACGAGACTTGCAGATGCCGATGGCGATCCTTTGCGCATTTGATTTGGCTCAACCCACGGACTTGGGTTACTCGTCGCCGGACTCTCCTCTCCCTCTTCGCGCCTTCCTGAACTCGTCCGAGTCCACGTCCCTCGGCCCTCAACCCCTGAAAGACGCAGCGGCGGGATGCGGCACCCCGTAGCATCGCATGCCAATACTAATTAGCCATTCTACGAGTGCGGTGTGCCATTGAATACGGATGCTTAACGGATCTTGAGCCTTCCACGAGCCCACTGACTAACTCCTTTGCACTTTGATTGTGAGAGGGAGTACCTACCGTACCTTACACAATATTATCGCGCATTCGAACTTCTCTCTCAAGTCAAGCGCGCCAACAGAACATCCCCACCGCCCAACGCCAGCGCCGCATGCGTTCGACTTTCCTCTCCATCTCTCGCAACTTCTCCATTCTGCGTCTCCGTCTGAATTGGTCTCTTTCTCTCTCTTCTCCCCTTCCATTCACATAATCTTCTCGTATCCATCTCGTCCCGATACACTACATCTCTAGCCGCGCCCGCACCCATTCCAGTCCACCTGTCACTACTGCAACGCATTGAACTGGTCCGTACCTTAGCAGCCAAGACCTCGAGACTTGCAGTTCGCGCCGCTTCTCCTCCCATCCTCTTCTCCCTCCCACCCCAGAACGCTCAGGCAGTTTCCGCAGAAGAAATCGCAATTCTGCTGCCCTTAAAGTGTCAAGTCAATCGCGGCCCCTTGTCGAGCCCCGTTTCATCAGGGAACTCCGCACTTTGCAACGTCGTCTTCACAGTGACGAGACAACCCACCGCCCAAAAGCAAACCTGCACGGCTACCACCTCATCCCATGCTGGAACTGCTGCCACTGTTACTGCTGGCTGCCGCTGGCCACTAAATTCGGTAGTCTATTTGCTCAACTGCCGCCTAGCCAACGCCCTGGATTGCCTGTTTAGCTACCTACCTTACTAGAGCCTAGGCTGGTTTGTGGAGGAACAGGTTCTCGACGGAACGCGCGAGCGAGCACTATCTCAGCTCCTCGTTTCCCCTTCCCTCCCCCTCACGTGGGAAACCTGGTCCACGGTCACAACATACACACAGCCAAAGGCTATCACCATCGTCAGCTCGTCAGACCCATCTGCAGTTCGTCAGCCTGCGAACCGGCCGTGGCAGACTTCGGATACCTGTCCCGGCTTTGCTTGATACCCGGCAACCCAACCACACACTCTTTGTGACGCACCACTTGCTTTTCGCGATTCTATTTTGTTCATATTCCGAAACCCCTGCTCCGTCCCACGGCGCTCGCTGCAACCTGCGCAACTTTTTCGGCCGCCTACCTATTGCCTTACGTCCCTTTACTCCAGAAACAATTCTGCTTGAGAAAGAGAACGAGTACCGACGGATTATTCAGCCTCTTTGCCTCTTTATACTATACCACCATTGTCGCATTTCGAGGGTGACTAGAGAGAGGTATGTCGAGTGCCCCCAGGGGACCCCCTCCTTTCAGTCCCCGGTCTCAAGTCCCAAACCTCTGTCTGCTTCGATCCAAACTTGGGCAGAAGACATGCTAAAACATAACCGATTCATGCAGATAGAGATTCCAACGCACCACATTGCAACTTGCTATCCCAACCTGCCTCCGAAAGGCTCCACGTCCGTAGGCTAGAGGACTTCAATCATGCGACCGGCCTTGGCCATCCCTCTCGCCCGAAGTATTACCCAGATCCGTTATTTCTGAATCTGAAGAGATACCCAATCGATCGAGGTTTACGTGAGAGGGCCAGGTGTTTCACCTGCCTCCCCGTTCTGCGACCGTCATGTCTTCCACCGACAAGTCGAGACAATCTTCAGGAGGGAAGTCTTTCTTCTCGCGAAGCAGGAAAGACAAACGCAACACCAGCGACGAAGGTCGCCATCTGGCCGATTACTCCGATACGGCCAGCGTACACTCGCGCGCCTCTCGCCATCATCGCGACTCGTCCGTCGTTTCGATCGACCAATACCCCGAATCCGGCATGACTGCTGGTCCCATGACGAGTATCCCCTACGACAGCATCCCCGATTCTCGATCACCAGTGCCCATCGAATACTTACCCAAAGGCGACCAAGCAGCGGTGCTTCGCCCGAGTCCTTCGCCGCATCACCTCAATAAAGTTACAAGCGACTTTCATCAGTATCCCACCTTCGACCCGTCCACAATGGCGGGGGGAGCGGGCTCGCATGCGTCGGCGCAGCGTGCGCCGCAGTCAAATATCACAATGGCCAGTACAGGCCGCCAGACGCAATACCAACAGTGGGGACCAGGGCCTGCTCGCGGAAGCACGGCGAGCACAATCAATGGGTCCCACAACCCCAGATACGATTCGTACATGACATCGGCGGGTCGTAGTTCCGCTGACCAAGCCAGCATATTCTCATCAGGTAATGGAGGCACCTATGACTTAGCAGCAAATCGCTCATCAAGACCAGCGCTGCCCAGTGCTTCTTCGCAGAGTTCCTATTCCTCGCACATGTCCTATAGGGACTCGACGCACCCTTCCTCGCACCGACTGACAAAGTTCCCCGGCATGGGGCCCACTGGACACGATGGGTTTCATTTCCCCCGGCCGGATAACGACGAAATCATCGGCCAGATGTTTCTGGCCCTGATGCAAAAACGAGGATGGCACAACCTACCCGAGCAGGCTCGCCGACAGATGGTCGCGTACGCGCCGGACAAGAAATGGACGCTTTTATACCAGGACCGATTGACCGAGTGGCAAGGAGAGCAAAAAAGGAGGCAAACAGCGAAACCGAATCAGTATGCGGCCCCAGAGATTCTGGTCAACTCGGACGAGGAGGGTTCACCAGAATGGTACGTCCGGCGCGTGATGGATAACAGCTTGGACACAAAGGGCTTGGGGAGTTTGGAGGTCAATCTCAGAACGCAACAGATTGGTTGGGTTAAGCGCTTCATCGAGTGTCAGGGGCAAGTCGCGTTGACCAACGTTCTCATGAAGATCAACCGCAAGACCGCAACGGGGCCAGTACAAGATGGGAGATCAGACCGAAACTTCGACCGCGAATACGACATCATCAAGTGTCTCAAGGCCTTAATGAACAACAAGTTCGGCGCCGACGATGCTCTAGTCCATCAACAAGTCATTATCGCGCTAGCGACCTCCCTGACCTCCCAGCGCTTGACAACTCGCAAGTTGGTCAGCGAAGTGCTCACTTTCTTGTGTCACTGGGGCGATGGGGAGGGCCACCTCAAGGTTATCCAAGCTCTCGATTCCGTCAAGGCACAGCAAGGAGAAAATGGCCGCTTCGACGCTTGGATGCGGCTTGTTGAAGTCACAGTGGACGGGCGTGGAAAGATGGGCAGTATGGTCGGAGCCAGTGATGAGGTCCGGAGCGGTGGCATCGGCATGGAGAACCTGCTCATGGAATACGCCGTCGCGACGCTGATTCTTATCAACATGATTGTCGATGCGCCGGAGAAGGACCTGCAACTGCGAATGCACATTCGCGCCCAGTTTACAGCATGCGGCATTAGGCGCATCCTGACCAAGATGGAGTCGTTCCAATACGACCTCATCGACAAGCAGATTGAGCGTTTCCGAACCAACGAGGCCATCGACTACGAGGATCTGCTGGAAAAGGAAAACAACAGCATTAAGGACAGCGTCGAAGGAGAAGTTAAGGACCTCAACGACCCTGTCCAGATTGTGGATGCCATCCAGCAGCGCCTGCGTGGGAGCAAGACGCAGGACTACTTTATCTCAGCGCTGCAGCATCTGCTGCTCATTCGTGACAATGATGGCGAAGAGCGACTGCGGATGTTCCAGCTGGTGGACTCAATGTTGAGCTATGTGGCCATGGATAGGCGTTTGCCCAACATGGACCTCAAGCAAAGTCTGAACTTCACTGTCCAGAGTCTGTTAGATAAGCTTCACACGGATTCAGAGGCCCGGCAAGCCCAAGATGAGGCACTCGAGGCACGCCAGGTTGCTGACGCTGCCATGGCGGAGAGAGATGAGATGAAGGAGAGGTTAGAGCTGGGCGCCGATGGACTAGTGGCAAAGCTCCAAAAGCAACTAGATGAGCAGGCGAGATTCATTGAAGCTCAAAGGCGGCAAGCCGAAGGCCTGAAAGCCGAGCTTGAGAACATTCAAACGCTGCGTCAGAAGGAAGCCCAACGGTACGAGCTCGAGACCCGAGAGCTTTATCTCATGCTTAGAGACGCACAAGACGTTGCTGCCTCTAATGCTGTTAAGGGCACCAACAAGCTTGGGGAAGAAGATCCGGCTCGGATGCAGGGCATTTTGGACCGTGACCGACTCATGGAGCGTCTTCAGATGCAGATTGAACGCCAAAAGACCCAGTTCAAGCTGGAGGGTAGAGTGTGGGGAGATGCCGTCGGGCCATCTGATCGACTACGCGCTCTCCGCGAGGAGATGGACGACAGCACGATGGGGTCAGGACTTGGTACGCCGCCAAGAGACTTCACAAACAGTATGCTCGGAAGCGTCAACCGCAACACAAAGATCACCCGCAAGCCAGTCAACGGCCGTGGCGAACCTATGGAAGGCGATTTCCCCGATGGCGAAGATGTCGAGATGGACGAGGACGGAGTTGTTTATGAGAAGCCTCGTGTCGTTGAAATCCGCCGCCCCGTTATGGACCCCAACCAAAAGGCCGGTCTCTTTGGCGAGATGGCCGGCAAGGTCAAGAAATACGAGGGAAGCGATTCAGAAGACGCCGAGGGCGCAACCACTGGCCCTTCTCATCCGAGCCTCGAGTCCGGCTCTCCAATTACGCCTGCCGATGGCGAACCTCCCAAGATCCAAATTACCGGGGCTGCCGCTCCCCCTCCTCCACCTCCCCCGCCGCCTATGCCCGGTCAAACCGGTGTTCCACCACCTCCTCCTCCGCCACCCCCGCCTCCGCCTATGCCGGGAATGCTGTCCCCGACTGGTGCTCCACCTCCGCCGCCTCCGCCACCGCCTCCACCGCCCCCAGGCGGTCTTCCGGGAATGCCACCACCTCCCCCTCCGCCATTGCCTGGCGCCATCTCAGGCCACTTCCTATCACAGGCAACACCCTTCGCCGGCGGGAATACTATCGGCTTGCCTATTGTTCGTCCAAAGAAGAAACTCAAGGCTCTTCATTGGGACAAGGTCGACTCTCACATGACTACGCATTGGGCTGCCCATGCTCCGTCTGCTGAGGAGCGCGAAGAGAAGTATCTCGAACTCAGTCGCAAGGGTATTTTGGACGAGGTTGAGAAGCTCTTCATGGCCAAGGAAATCAAGAGACTCGGAGTTGGTGGTGGCGCAAAGAAGGATGACAAGAAGCAAATCATCTCCGGCGACCTCCGCAAAGCTTTTGGTATGTTCCCTCCCTCTTCCCGCATCACTTTAAGCGACAACAGCTGACTTACAACTTTTAGAAATTGCCTTCGCCAAGTTTTCTCAGGTTTCCGTTGAGAAAATCGTGCAGTCCATCATTCATTGCGACAAGGAGATCCTCGATAACTCTGTCGTCATGGACTTCTTGCGCAAGGATGACCTGTGTAATATTCCGGATAACACAGCGAAGCAGATGGCTCCGTACAGCAAGGATTGGACTGGCGCGAACCCCGACAAGGCCGAACGCGAACAGGACCCTACCGAACTCACCAGACAGGATCAGATTTACCTGTTCACAGCCTTTGAACTGCATCATTACTGGAAGGCCCGTATGCGAGCTCTGGCCCTTACTAGGAGCTTCGAGCCCGACTTTGACGAGATCACGGAGAAGATGCGACAAGTCGTCGCCGTGTCCGAGTCGTTGCGAGACTCCGTGTCCCTCATGAACGTTCTCGGTCTCATTCTCGATATCGGAAACTACATGAACGACGCCAACAAGCAGGCCCGCGGTTTCAAGCTGAGCTCTCTTGCCCGTCTGGGCATGGTCAAGGATGACAAGAACGAATCTACGCTCGCCGATCTCGTCGAGCGCATCGTTCGTAACCAGTATCCCGAATGGGAAGACTTTTCGGAAGACATTAACGGTGTCGTGATGGCTCAAAAGATCAACATTGAGCAAGTTCAGCAGGACGCCAAGCAATACATCGACACAGTGAAGAACGTTCAAATGTCTCTCGATGCCGGTAATCTCAGCGATTCCAAGAAGTTCCATCCCCAAGATCGCGTCAGTCAAATTGTCCAAAGAATCATGAAGGACGCGAGAAGAAAGGCAGAGGAGATGCAGCTGTACTTGGAGGAGATGATGAAGACATACAACGATATCATGGTCTTTTATGGCGAAGACCCCACCGACGAGAACGCCCGCAGAGACTTCTTTGCCAAGCTTGCCATGTTCATCATGGGCTGGAAGAAGTCCCGGGAGAAGAACGTCCAGCTCGAGGAGACGCGCAGGCGCAACGAGGCGTCTATGAAGCGGAAGCACGCCCAACTCCAGGTATCAAACGCCAAGGTGGACGGTGCACCGCCCTCGCCATCAAGCGCAGGTGCCATGGACTCCTTGCTGGAGAAGCTGCGCGCTGCTGCGCCTCAGACACGAGACCAGAGAGATCGTCGTCGCAGGGCCAGACTCAAGGATCGTCACCAGGTGCGAGTCGCATCTGGACAGAAAATCCCTGATCCAGACGAAATCCCCGAGGTCGAGGCCTCCCTACAACAGGCGCCCAAGGAGGCGACTATTGACGAAGAAGGCAACCCCATCAGCCCGGGACTGTCGTCACCCAGAGAAGCTGGAGAGGACGACGTGGCCGATCGTGCGGCATTATTGCTACAAGGTATACGTGGAGGAGACGGGGCGGATGAGGCCGACCCGGAGAAGCGCGAGAGCTTACGGCGCTCGAGGAGGCAGACGGCCGAGGAAGAGAGGAGGATGAGAAGACGCAGGCGGGAGAAGGCAACGTCCACAAACACTGCCGTCAGCGAAGGAGACACGACTGTGACGGAAGCGAAGGAGGAGGAGATACCCCCGACACCTTCGACTGAGAACACGCCTGTAGAGCCATGAGCCCGGATCTCATGTGGGAAGAAAAAAGTCACCAGTCGGAGTCATATATACACAAAAAACTACGTAATGTTTACTACTTCGAAGAACACTAGCATTGAGGGGGGAAATACCCATCCCCTCTCACACAAGCTCAATCACACAGTACCTACCATCTTGTCAGTTGGAGGGGAGGAAGGGAACTGAGGATTCGGAGTGGCCCCCCCCTTTTTTTTTCGATTGTGAATCATTCCCCCACGATATATAGGAGGGCACGAGAGGAGTCGAGGCGCTTGCAAATCACTGGGGCGTCTTTGTACTGCATCGCTACATCGCTGCGTCATTGCCGGTTTACGTCGTCACTTTGGCTCTTCCTTTTTCCGGGGATCAAGACATTCAAGCATGAGGGAATGGAGAAGAATGCTGGGCTCCCGGCTGGTCTTTGGGTTTGGCATTCTGAAATTTTCTTTGAGGCTGTTTGTATTTCTGTTGCATGGGCGGATTGTGGTGGCGGTGCATGCCAGGTGGCTCGGGTGAAGCTGTTGGAGGATGTGTTTTTGGAGGATTGGCTGTAGGGAAGAAGATGAATCGAAGATGAATATTATGTTCCAACGATGCGAGTCTGCAGCAACTCGCCTGATGCCTGGCTTCCATGTGATGTGTATGTGAGCATTATTCTGTGATGTTGGGTTCATACTGAATACGGCGGTTGGTTGAGGACGCGAGGAATCTTGGCCCATACAGACGCACAATATCGAACACGTCTTGACGGGTATTTGAAGTTGAAGATGGCACGGGCATCATGTTCTCTCGGGACCTACTCCTTCGAAATATGCTCCAGCTAGAAGCTATTACTTAGCTCAGGTAACGTGTAAGTACCTACTCTAAGTAAGGGACTTAGATAGTCGAGTGTCCCCGTGAGACTCTGTGGTTCCGTGCCTTCCTATCATTGCCTCAAGTCTCTCTGTCGTTGCCGTTCAAAAAGTGTATATATACGATTGCCCTCTTCTCTCTTGACACGATTTCTCTAGCATTGAACTGAATCAAGATGAGCGGCTCACATCTCCTATTCGGCAGCGGCTTCTTTGCCGAAATACTGGATATGCTCTTTGGGCCCGCCAAGTATCTACACCTACACGCGATGATATAGCCTAGCTACACCATTATTTGCCTCTGGCTTTCGTCTGCGGGTAATTCAGATGGGAATACATTGAGGATACTAAATAAGGATCCACGAAAATTGTTTCTTTTGACTGGCTTCTGTACGCTGGAAACACAGCCTTTTTGTATCAGCTTTACTCCTTCGTCGCCACCAGCGTGAGCTTAGAAAGATGCATCGACGTCCTCACCAACTTCGTAATGTTGACGGATCCCTGTATCGTCGAGATGACCTTGTCGTGCGCATTGATCGTCCTTTCCACAAGGTCGCGGGAGTTAGGATGCTTGAGAGACGACCGCATAGTTTGTGCTAACGCGCGGCGTGATTCCTAAACCTTGCTTCCGATGGTGAATATGTGCCGGTTGGTTATGTTATTGGCTAGGGTGAGGGCCTCTTCCTCTTGAATAATGTTCGCCTTATTACCCTCTTGGGCGTAAAAGATATGCGTATTCTCTTTTTGATGGGGGATGTTCTTAGGGTAGATCTCTATCTGACTGCTGCGCTGGATATTGTTGAATATGACTAGTAGGATAGTACGATACTAGTCTTCGAGAGTAAAGCCGGCGATAGTGCGGCTATTATCCGTAGGGAGAAAATGGTGCTTATATGTATTAACGTTGTCGGTGAGTTCAACCTTATCCGCCAATAGCTCGGTTGGACGAAGCCACAAGAGGGCGGCATGGAGAATGTTGCCGGTTGCGCAGGGCACCCTCTCGAGAGGCATCCCTGTCTCGTACTTGGTTGCCATAAATGACGTCTTGAGGAGCTTAATATACGAGAAGAATCTCATAGTGAACCAGCCAAAGTTGAAGCAATGGCAGGGAGAACAAACGCATTGTCAAGTTCTACGTATAGAAACGGATATGTAGGTCAAGTATTCCAAAGTCATTAAGGTCAATGAAACTCAACGCGCAAAGCGTAGAACTGCGGAACTTTGCTTAAAGGTGGGAAGTCTACGACTTACCTAAGCTTACGAACCTTCCCCAAACAAGCCGACACCAGCTTCGACTGAGTTCAAACACAGCGAGATACAGTGCAAGAAGCAAAAAATGATCAGATACCTTCATTTTAATAAAAAGACATCGTATCAAGTGTCAAAAAATCGAAAAATGAAAGGGACGAGACTCGAACTCGCGCGGGTTGCCCCACCAGGAAACAGATGTTAAGCTGACCTTAACCTGGCGCCATAACCAACTCGGCCACCCTTCCGATTGATGAAAATCTGCAGGGCCTAATGCGTACTTAGAGCTAGCCCGCCACGCAGCTGTCGAACAACAGCCGTGATGCTCCGCCCTCAGTCCGGCCTGCTGCCGACGCAAACACCGAAGCTACGGGTTACAGAAGGAGATACGGCGAGCTCTTCATCCGGAGAAATTTGGTCTCCATGGACCACACGATTCGGCATGTTCTTCACGCAGGTGACAGCACATGCATCACCGGTCTCTGCACCATAAATCTCCAAGACCATCTAACCTGCAGTAGAGCAGCCCCCAATGCATTAAGGCTGAACGGCCGGCATGGTTGCCGGTGCTGCAGGTTGTCTTACATTTCGCATTTAGCCGCGAACACGGATACAGGTCCCCCTCCCCTCCTCCGCATCGCCGTTAGTAGCACTTACCATTCATACGAGGGTATCCGTACTTTGTCGTAGCAGCCCCTCCCCCTCACGCTCCACCCCCACCGAACCCCAAACATTGAGCGGGGAGGAACCCCCAAGCAACAACCTGCTTTGACGATCTTGAAGGGGAGAGAAGAAGAGCATTGGACAGAGCTCCCCCCGAAGACTGAAGTCGACCCCACCATCTTACCATCCCGCAAAGCTAGCCCCGATGGTTCTGTGTCTACACGGCACGGCGAAAGTCGCCCGACTGCTTGTGTGTTCATGCTGGCCGGAGTAATTCTAACGCGAGGTTCGTGGCGTGGGATGCCGGGTTATGACCTCGATGTTCCCCCGCGTACATAGCTAGTCACTATTCCGAACGTTTTCTCTACTCTTACCTGACGTTCTCATCTCGTTCCTCTTGCTCTCTCACAAGGTGTCACTCATTCTTAATCGATAATCACACCTGAAGCTCATCATGGAGGACCCCAAAACCGGCCTCGTGCTGGGCTACAATGGCGCCCACCCCTTCTCCAAAGTAAACCTCACAGACAGGTCCTCCGTCCAAGAGCTCCTCCGCACCCTCCTCGACCCCCTCGAGCCCTTCTTCTCTCCCCAGAAAGCCCGCGTCAAGGTCCCCGGCGCCACCGCCGTCCGCTTTGACCAGGCCGCCTCTGAGGTCGAGGGCATCCTCCGCCCCATCTGGGGCCTCGCGGCTCTCTTGGCCGGCGGGGGAGAGTATCGCGGCACCGAGTGGTGGATCCAGGGCATCAAAGCTGGTACCGACCCCGAGAACCCAGAGTACTGGGGGTTTCCCCGGGATAATGACCAGCGCATGGTTGAGATGTGCCCTTTTGGTATGTTTGATTTACCTTACACGAGTGAATATGCCAGCCCCTTCGCAGAGACTGACTAGATATGATAGGCTTCACTCTCGCCGTAGCACCAACTATCTGGGAAAGTCTATCCGAAAAGGAGCGTGTGAATGTCGAGAACTGGCTAGGCAACTCAATCAACGAGAAGAAGTAAACATGCAGTCATATCCCCGTTCAAAATTACATCACTAACACTTACACCCTCCCTCGAAGCATGCCAAACACAAACTGGCTCTGGTTCCGCGTCTTCGCCAACCTAGGCCTCAAGAAGAACGGCGGCAAGTTCTCACAGGCGCGCCTCGACGCAGACATCAAGCACCTCGACACCTTTTACCGCGCCGGCGGCTGGTCCAACGACGGACCGGAGGGCATCCACCAGATGGACTACTACTCCTCCAGCTTCGCCATCCAGTTCCTCCAGCTCCTCTACGCCAAGATCGCCGGCGACGACGAGCCCGAGCGCGCCGCCGAGTTCCGCAAGAGGGCGCAGCTGGTCGCCCTCGACCTCGCCCACTACTTTGACGAACAAGGGCGCGCCATCCCCTTTGGCCGCAGCGTCGGCTACCGCTTCGCCATGGTCTCGTTCTGGGGCGCCCTCGCGTACGCCGGCGTCGAGCTGCCGGAGCCCCTGACGTGGGGTATGGTCAAGGGTATCGTGATGCGTCACCTGCGATGGTGGCAGACGCAGCACGACATGTGGAGCCCGAGCGGGACGCTGACGGTTGGGTACTCGTACCCAAACATGTACATGGCTGAGAACTACAACAGTCCCGGGAGTCCTGTGAGTTTTTGCCCCTGTATAAACCATGACTTCTACAAGTTTGTAGCTGACTGATGTCTCCTGCCAGTACTGGGCCTGCCTAGCCTTCATCTGCCTCGCAGTCCCCGAAGACCACCCCTTCTGGACATCAAAGGAAGAACAGGCCTGGGACGTGATCCCCAAACTCAAGCCCCTCTCGCAGCCAGGCCACATCATGAGCAACATTGGCGGCCACTGCATGCTCCTCTCCTCCGGCCAGGCCTGCAGCTACCCCATGAAGGGAACCCACGCCAAATACGGCGCCTTTGCCTACTCGAGCGCCTACGGCTACTCCGTGCCCCCGGGCCTATTCTCCCTCGAGCAGTACGCCCTCGCCTCGCAGCTCGGCCTCTCGGACGACGGCGGCGAGTACTGGAAGACGCGCCGGCTTTCGCAGTACGCCGGCATCGAGTCCAGAGACGGCAGCGGGCCGGTCCTCGTCTCCGTGTGGAAGCCCTTCTCGGACGTCGAGATCAAGACCATCCTCGTGCCCCCCGCCGAGGCTACGCCCAACTGGCACCTGCGCATCCACCACATCAAAGCCGGCCGCGACGTCATGACCGCCGACGGCTCCTTTGCCATTGCCAACGAGAACTCGACAAACGGGCGGTACCTCGACCTCTACGACGCAGCCAAGGGCGAGGGCACATCCCCCAAGATCATTGGCAACTACGACACAAACACGCCCGAAGGGCTCGCAAGGGGCCAAGACGGTTCCTTTGCCGTGTCCAAGGGTGCCGTGGGCATAAAGGCGTTGGAAGGCGCCCGCATCGAGCGGACGGCGAACCTCGTCAACGCCGATCCCAACTCCAACCTCGTCGAGAGCCGCACCACCATTCCGACGCTCCAGCACACCATCAAGAAGGGCGAGGCGGTCTGGTACGTGACCGGTATCTACGCCAAGCCGAGCGGTGAGGGCATCTCCAGGCAGAGCTACCTCGACGGCTGGGAACATCCGCCTGCGATCCCAGCTTGGCTCGAGGAAGAGATGAGTAAATCATGAAAGGGGTGATTGGATCTTTTTGGGTCAGTGTAAATACATTAATGGGCGTATGAATATCCAGCAGGGTAAAAGAAAAAAAGAGTTTACCACCGGTGTGGCTACATCTCCTGGTGCACTTGCTGGGAATTGGACTCGAGCTCGGAGCCTGTCGTCGAGTAGGCTGTGGGCGTAATTTGATTAGTGACCGTAAACCACTCCACCACCCAGCCAGTTTGACCTGACCCGTCGACCTAGACGGGCGCCTGCTGGCTGGTGACAGGAATGGGATTGTTGGGACCTATGTGGGCTCTCCCCCCCCCTCTGTCCGTGTAGTATTCATCCGAAAAGCAGGAGTAGTCACCAGACCCACCTTTGATAATGGCGTAGATGTAGACAGAGATTTGGGGTGATGAGATGGGAAAGTTTGTGATCTTCCTTGTGCAGGTGCTGTGTTTACTCATGTAGCCAAAGTATTCGACCCTAATTCGATCATGCTGTCTGGTGGCCATCTAGCCTACGTCCTTAGGAAGTGTGCCTATGTAAGGTTCGGTCTGTCTCCTAAAAAGCATCGGGTACGGCGATGTCGCCCGGTAGACTGACGGCAAAGATTAGCTCCAGGGCTTCATGCAAGAGCTCTATTATTATCGTAGAGTTGGACGTGGCTGGCCATGCATGCACCTTCAAGTACCTCGATCTACATCTTCACCCACGCGGTACGCCGGTTTCACTTTGAACTGTAAAGCGCACTTCGGCTATAGTAACGTTCATTTACAGATAGGATATACTAGCCGAGACTACGAAACAAGGAACTACCATGCATGATGCGTCTTCGCCCTAGACATCTATTGAAACCAGAGACATCCCTTCGCGGTGCAAGGAATGCAGACTAAACAGGACAATACTCAATGCTTAAACGCGATTACTCGTCAACAACAGAGGCAAACTTGTCCAGCATCTGCTGCTGAATATCCTCGTACTGTTCCAATTGGGTTAGCAAATAGACAACGACCGGCCGTATTATCACGTAGACTCACCTTCTTCTCGATAGCCTCCTGGCCCTCGGAGGGAACCTCGAACTTGAGTTGACGCAGCTTGGCCTGCAAATCACCGGTGGCCTCACGGACCTTGGCCCAGCTCTGGCCTTGAGCAATGGCCTTTTGTGCCTCGTCGTGGAAGCCAACCATGAGCTTCATCATCCACTCTGTCTTCCACAGCGGGCAGAACTGGTCATAGTCTGAGTAACCGTTTTGTTGCAGGAAATCTTCCTTTAGAAGCGCGGCGATATCCAGCGTGATTTTGTCGGGGTCAGACAGCGCACTCTTTCCGACCAGCTGCACGACCTGGTCAAGCTCCTCAGAGTCGGACAAGAGCTGTCTGATGCGGTCACGGAGACGGGGGAAGTCGGGGTAATCCTTCTCATACCACTTGTCGAGAACCATGGTGTACTTGGAGTAACTGAGCGAGGTGTTGATGGAGGGGAAGTGCTTGCGCTGCGCGAGCTTCTTGTCGAGACCCCAGAAGACCTGTACGATACCGAGAGTTGAAGTAGTGACGGGATCGGAGAAATCACCACCAGGGGGACTGACGGCACCGACAATGCTGACACTGCCGTTTCGCTCAGGTGAACCGAGAGACACGACGCGACCGGCACGCTCGTAGAAAGAGGCAAGCTTGGCACCGAGGTAGGCAGGGAAACCTTGATCAGCAGGCATTTCTCCCAAGCGACCAGAAATTTCACGAAGAGCCTCAGCCCAACGCGAGGAGGAGTCAGCCATCATGGCAACGTCTAGACCCTGGTCACGGAAGTACTCGGCGACCGTGATACCGGTGTAAATAGAGGCCTCACGAGCAGCGACAGGCATGTTGGAGGTGTTGGCGATGAGGGTGGTACGCTTCATGATGGGCTCCTTGCGACCGTCAACGTCAATGGTAAGCTCGGGGAAATCCTTCAAGACTTCGGCCATCTCGTTTCCGCGCTCACCACAGCCGACATAGACGATGACATCGGAGTTGGAGAACTTGGACACCGACTGACTAATGACAGTCTTGCCACAGCCGAAAGCACCAGGAATGGCGACGGTACCACCCTGGACACTGGGGAAAAGGGCGTCCAGCACTCTCTGACCGACGATGAAGGGCTCGTTCGCCTGGAGCTTCTCGGTGGTAGGGCGGGGAACTCGCACAGGCCAAGTCTGCATCATGGGGTACTCGGTCTTCTTTCCATCAAACTCGACCTCGAGCAGGGGCTCGGCGACGGTGTATTGTCCCTTGCTGGCGATCTTGGTGATGGTACCGCGGGCGCGAGGAGGGAGCAGGATTCGGTGGACGGAAATGAACGAGTTCTCGTTGACGGTACCCCAGACGTCGCCGCCTGAGATGTGGTCACCGACCTTTGCGGTGGGCTCGAAATCCCACTTCTTATTACGGTCGAGGGCAGGGACGGCGATACCGCGGGGAATGTAAATGGTCTTCGACATTTCGCTGATCTTCTCGAGAGGTCTTTGGATACCATCGTAAATACCGTTGAGCAGACCGGGGCCGAGCTCGACGGAGAGGGGCTTTCCGGTGCGGTAGACGGGATCACCGACAGTGACACCAGCTGCGCAATGCATTAGATTCGGAGAGGGGTGGAATCGGGAGTCGGAAACGTACCAGTCTCCTCGTAGACCTGGATGGTTGCTTGGTCGCCGTTGATTCGAATGACTTCACCGACTAGGTTATCGTGACTGACTCTAACCTGCGAATATATCAGACATCATCCCAGACGTTTCACGAGCATGTCAACCTACCAACTCGTACATAGCAACACCAATCATGTCCTCGGCAACAATGACGGGTCTATCTGCATGATTAGTCGTCGCGCGCGACACATTGAGGGGCCGAGTCGAGTCGGGGGAGCTTCAAACGAACCCTGAGACGGAGAAGATCTTGCCTGCACGATACGGTCAGTCAATGGCATCATCAAGATGCATCAGAGAGTATCAATAGCTTACCATGTCCGAGATCCTCCTCCTGCTCGACCTTGGCTTCTTTCTTCTGCTTCTGTAGGGGTTGGCGCCCGAGGTCAGCAACCAGCAATCGAGGTCGGTGGGGCTGGCATATGCCGCATAACAGACGCGGCGATGGCGACAACGGGGCGTTGGGATCGGGGTGCTTACAGGAGGCATGCTGGGCGGTTCGACGCGAGCAGGGCTCGGCTCGTGTAGCGTCGTCACAAAGGGAGAGTCGATGGAGGATGTAGGAGGGTCGGCGGTTGAGGGGGAGGGCGGGCTAGATGAATATCGTCGAGGTGTTGTTAGAGGTTGAGCAGAAGCTATCTCCAGAGCTTCGACGTCACTGTAATCCATGTGTTGCAGACGACGGCCCAGCTCCTGACTGGACAGTTGACATCACGTGACTGCATTGGCCAGGCGCCCGGCGCTAGGCGAGGTACCTTGCAGAAGCCCGATGACTGATAGAGAACCGTAGAGTACTTCACAGCATATCTGTTTCTTAAGGATGCCTTTTCTGTACTTACCTTAAGGAGCTGCTCCTAGCTTATCTGTTGATTAATGCGCCTAATTCATTTCGAGCCCGACCAATTTAACTGTGTGATTTGACTGAATTGACTGTGTACTGCTACCAGCTAGGCACGCGAGATGCCACGACTAGCAGTACTGCCGCCATCGTAACTAAGCTATTATTGGAATACTTATAGTATTGCTAGTCAGGTAAAGTGAGGAAGGGGCCTTAAGGTCGAAACATGCTGCAATGTCGGACGATCTTTCCGTACAAAGGTCTATCAGGATCTTTGTAAGTACTGATGATAGTAGCTGTGGCCACGGTAGTTGTGGTAGGCCTAGTTAGCCGCGGTACATAAGGCAGCCAATATAGCCAAACCCCCCAGCCAAGTTAAGTTCATTTTTTAAATTTCCTCGACAGTGATATAAGCTCGTCTCGTCTCAAACACTGTTCTGTCAACCACTGCTTTTCTCGACACATTTCGCTTTTTCAGTTACTATTGTCTTTAATTTCTTCCATCCTCTCTCCGATTTTCCCGTTTCCTTTGTCAACCTCCCTCTCAGGTTTCCTTTTCGCAAGAGACATCTTACGCCTTGAGAATCTTGGACAGCTCAGCAACGATGAGATCTCCTGCCTCGGCAGTGCTCGTGTTGCCGCCCATATCCTTGGTTCTCAGCCCGGCGTCGATGGCGACGCGAACCGCGTCCTCGACGAGCTTGGCCTCGTGGCCGAGGTTCAGAGAGTACCGGAACATCATGGCCACGGAAAGGATGGTGCCAATGGGGTTCTGAAAACGAGGTCAGCTCTGTACTTGCAGAAAATGGTTGGGAATCGCCCGAAATGGGGTCCTGACGTACCACAATACCCTTGCCTGAAATGTCCGGCGCGCTCCCTGTCATCTGCGTTAGCGACTGATGTCTATATGAAGGCTTGACAAAGAAAGACGGCTTACCGTGAATAGGTTCGCAAATAGAAGGCACTGCGGTGCCCACGCCGCAGAGACTTGCGCTAGGGAGGAGTCCTATGCTTCCAGTGATGGCGCTCGCCTCGTCGCTAAGAATATCGCCTATGAATTCATCAGCTACACCGTCTTCAGGGTGGGCGAGGAGCCTTGCTCACCAGCCAAGTTAGGTGCCAACAGGACGCCATTCAGATGCGTCGGGTTCTTGACCATGATCATGGCGGCGCTGTCAATAAGCTGGTGCTCAACCTTGAGATCAGGGAACTCGTTCTTGTAGACCTCATCAACGACAGTACGCCAGAGTCTGCTTGTCGCCAGCACGTTTGCCTTGTCGAGCGAGATAACCCGCGAATCGCCCCTTTTCCTGGCCAGGATACCGCCCAAGCGCGCGATACGCTCGATCTCTGGTTTCGTGTAAACGGTGGTGTCGAACGCGTTGGTTCCGTCATACTCCTTTCGCTCTCCGAAATACAGGCCCGAGGTCAACTCGCGGACGATAATCATGTCGGTGCCGCGGCAGACGGACGCCTTCAGGGGGGAGGACTCGACAAGGGCGTCGGACGCGAAGAAGCAGGGACGGAGGTTGCCGTAGGCGCACATCTCACTGCGCAGCTTCAGGAGACCCTGCTCCGGGCGGACGGCGCCGGTGCCCCATTCGGGGCCACCGATGGCGCCGAGAAGCACGGCATCGGCGGCTTTGGCGGCAGCGAGGGCCTCGTCGGTGAGGGGGGAGCCGGTCTGGTCGATGGAGCACTGGGGAGGAACGCCGAGGTTAGCAATAAGTTTCTCGCGTGGATGTTCTTTGGGCCCGTGTGATCCGTCATCGGGGGACGACTTACCCCTCCAAGCAGGTGGTCCTGCAGGTTGAACTTGCCAGCAGTCGGGCTCAGCTTCTCGACTGTCTTGATGACCTGTATCCTGCGTCAGACGAGCTCATTTTCAATTCGCAATAACCGGCCTCGTACCTTGATTGCCTCAGCAATGACCTGTTGAATAACTAAAGTCAGCCTCTTTCCATTCAGAGTCAAGAGTGGGAAAGTCCCGGGGTGTCAGTCACCTCTGGGCCGCAGTGGTCGCCCGCAAAGACAACAATGTTGTGTTCCGCCATGTTTGCAACACTTTTATGATTGAGGGGTATCGTAGGAGGGGTAATTGGAAGATGAAGTGAGGTAACTGAACAAAGTTCGACGAGATATATAGCTGAGCGAAGTCGGGGACGAGTTATTCGTCCGGAATGGCCTGCTTTCGCTGGCAAATGCAAGTAGTGCCCCGCCCTGCTAAGTGCCCTGGAGAACCCTCCCCTCAACCCCACACCCCACCTGCCGAGATCGGGGGAAGCTTCGGCCAGCTCCAGCGCCCGATAGCCTTCTCGGCTTGTTCCCTTGCTGATCTGGGCCTCAACTGAGGTACATTGGCCTTTGCCGAGTTGTCGATGACACGGCCAGCACACTTCACCAATTGTTCGCTAGGTACCTTGGGCTTTGAGACCGCTGTTCTTCAACACGCCAAGCGCGAACATTACATGTGGACCAGATGCTTTTCGCGTCGAATTGAAATGATCCCGAGTAACGCGCTTGACACGTTTGACCTCGAGGCAAGTAACCATGGTCAGATAAGTATGCGAGAACAAACGTTGCACATCCTAGTTTCGACGGCTTTTGTACTCAGGGCTCGAGGACCCTCACTTTCAGGTGAACCTTCGAGAAGCCGAATGGCCAGAAGATAGGCGGTTTCCATTGACCTTGCCAATCATCTTTCCCATCATGATGGGGAGTGCCAATCGGCGACGAGACAGCCGGCGGATTTGACGTTGATACTGGAGGCGAACTGTCACCAGCGCCATCTTGCTTTCCGTGCACAAGCAGGTCAACCAGTCACGGTCACACCCGAAGCCGAGGACGGAATGCGACTTGCATACACATTAGAATTCAGTATCTCTTGTGACTTTTCTGGCCGTACACAATGCTTAGGAGTGAATCCTATTCCCATGGGGTTCTTGGAATGGCCCATAGTAGTATGGTTTCGCTCTCGGGAAATGGTTTAACACGAGTTCGGTTCAACACGGTGTGGCAGGCCAGTAGTCGTCGAGCAAATTTCCGCCGGCCACTTTGGGTTGCTATGAGCCTGAGGGAGTTGCACTGCCACGACCAGGCTAGCTACTTCTAAGACACAGCTTGTTCTCCGCACCGTTGGCCCCGAGACGGCACCTATCGCAGGCATCCCTTGCGTGGATATCACTCTTGCGGAGTCGTTCACCGCATACAACTTGACTTACTTCTTCAAGCTCATGTTCCTGCTTCTCTGGGGCACATTAGAGGAGATGCCATTTTATAGATGCAAACAAAACAGACTGCTTAGATAGGCAATGGACGACTTCTGAAGTGAAGTCATTTACAACGTAAGGTCTTACATGGTGAGGCACCACCATCACTTGGACTAAACGGATTGACCATCGAATCATAAACATTGAACACTAAGTCTAACTAACTACGTTTAAGCAAGTCATCCCTGAAGCTGCAACTCCCGTATTGTCACCATGTGGCAAGTAGACAATGCCTGAGAGTTCCCTAGCGACAAGGTCCAACAGTATCGTACGCCAATGTTTTGATCCCATCCCAAAGCACGAAAACTTTACGTTCGTACATTCATTAGTATCGTCATTATGCCATTGCCAATATCCAACAGGTCATTCATCATCATGAAATGACTGCCAGACCGCGCACCCAGACATACGCCGATATGAGCTCCTTTCACGGCAGCTCTGATTATCCATGCAAGTCCTTCTTGACTTGCCGATATCTAAACAGCATCCTCGCTGCTCTCTTCCTCTCCTCAACTCTCCCGGTGCTCTGCTCTGGCCTCCAGCGGATATTCTATGTTCAGCGGAGAAAACCTGTCCGCTCATCTCATCTGGCCGCTTTGTGCAGTTCGGTCCAGTTTTTTGTACTTTTATCTATACTGTAATCAATGCAATCAGGTCGTGTATGTGCAGCATCGGCATTTTCGTTGCAATGCTAGCATGCCGATTCTTGTGTGTTTTCGTCATGATGATTGTGACTCGTAAACGTAGCTCAAGCCGTGGTCTCCTTGAAGTCGATGAGCTGCTCCTCTTGGTCAGTCTCCTTGAGGCTCTTCTCCCATTCGTCCATGAGGTTGTTGGCTGTTCGCTTCAGATTGCCAGGCGACAGCTTATTGACGACGGTTGGCAGAAGCTCCTCCAGCCTAGCGGGAGATAAGAGGGCTGACTCAGGTCGAGGCTCGGGCCGAGCAGCGGATGTGTCAATGGTGATCGACGACTTCTTCTTACTGTTCACACACATGTCTTAGTATATCTCGAGGGTGGCAAAACATCATTAGCGAGGCTCTTACAGTGGAGTCACATTCTCGTCGTTGGTCTCGGCCATTGACGCAAGGTCCTCTGCTCCACCAACGGTCGATCCACTCCAGCGTGCTGGTTTGGCAGAGGACGGCTGGGGTGAGTCCCAGTTAGACCAGTCGTTATCATCGAAGGAGTCGAAAGTCAACGGAGTCCATGAGAAGTGCTTGGCCTTCGTCGTTGTGGACTTGGTTGCGGGCTTAGGGTTCGGTCTTTCTTGCAACGCTTTAGACGGCTTGCTAGGCGTGTCCATAGGCGGCAAGTCAAAGGCAGAGTTCACCGGGACCCTGGTACGAGAAGAGCTGTTGGCCTTGATGGTGTCCTGGTCTCCAGCATACGATCTCCTGCCATGAGGGTCCGTCGAGCCTGAACGTCCACCATTGATGGGCTCATCGCCGACAGTAGCTTGTCTGATATCCTCCACGAAGCTCCACAGACCTAGCTTAAAGTCCTGTGCCATTTGCTTTGCGACAGGGGGAACGGCTGTATTGTATGAGCGCGGCTGCCAGGATGCTCTCTTGGAAAGAGCAGCATGAGACAGCATGGGCGGTGACCGGATTTCTGGCGATTTCAGACTGGCGGTATCCTCATGCACAGCGAAACCCTCCGGCTTGGTTGGTGACAGCAACGATAGCGTCCTCGTGTGCCCGCCACGGAGGACTCTTCGTCTATATTCCCTGGGTCCGGTTTGTCCCTGCAAATCTCTCAAAAGCGATTTCCTCCGATCCAGTTCGACACTCCTCTTTAAGCCTGCCTCGTCATCGTCCAATAAGGATGGCTCAAATTGAGGCGCCAATGGACGCATTGGCTCATTGCGAATCTCTCTCTTTCGTTGACCGCCTTGGATAGTCCACTGCTGCTTCAGTCTCGTCAGTTCACCCTCCGCGCGAGCTAGTTCTTCGCGAATCTCCAAGACACGTCGCTCCTGCGCTGCTATCGCAATGATGAAGTCATTGGGGTCTGAAGGTGATGTGATGGTCGAGCTGTCGACAGGCGTCGGGGGGTACGATGTCGTCGCGACGGAAGCTGGGCGAGAAGGATCGCTGGTTGGTGGTGCAATAGGAAGGGTGAGTGAGAGTCGGTTCGTGTTACGCGATGCGTTCGACTCTGAACGTGACGCGCGCGAGAAACGTTCTTGGGTTGAGGGAGTAGGCGGAGGAGGCGTCACAGCCTCTGGGGTCTCCATCTCTCCGATCAGAGTCTCGATTTGGGCTTCTGAAGGCTTGAAATATGAAGATCTCGGGGTGACGGCGGGTTGTGGTGTAAAAGCCGTGGTGGTCGTGGTGGCCGGGGGGTCCGCCGGCGGACGCTCAACCACAGAGGCACGACGGCGTATGATCTCGTGAGTGCTCTGCATCTCAGCGCGAGCAAAGTGCGCGGTGGACGCCTCGTGCAAGGATTGGCAATCGGCGGCGGTGGTATATGCTCGACGGCGTCTAGGTGAAGAATGCGAGGGAGAGGCGGTGATGGGTCGCCGAGTATGCCGCTGTCTCCAGACGGCGGAGGAGTGAGCGTGATTCGTTCTTTTGGCAACGACAGCCTTGTAGGAATTCAAGTGTCTCTGGTGGTCATATAAGAGAGTGCGTGAGCAAGCAGAGATGAAGCAGATTTGTAGCAAAAAAATGGCTGTCATGAGTAGAGTGGAAAGAGGGTCATTATTGACAGCCCGAAGGTGTGCGTGTTTGTTGTTGTGCAGGCACAGGCACAGGCTCAGCAAGAGAGTGACTGGACCGGGCAGATGGCCACAAAGTGCAGCGATTAGAGGGCGGCCCGGAGAGAATTGAAAGTTCGGGGGTCGGGGGGGATCCAGGTTCAGGAACCTAAGCAGGAGATCAAGTTGGTGCTCCGTAGTGGCAGACTGCCAGTAAGGGTAGTCGGATTGCGTGGGCTGGGGACTTGAAGGAACTCCTCTCTGGGTCTGCGGTCTGGGTCTGGTAGGGGGCCGTTGAATCAGGGTTGCAGCGCAACGGGGGCGACGATTGGATAGCGAGATTGGCCGAGCTGGCGTGGCGGACGAGGGTATTTTGCTGTACTGCGGTAGATAGGGGCGGGCCTCGACCTCTTTCAATCTTGCTCTGTCACTGCAGTGCTAGGTGGAGTAGAAGCTACCGGGTGGGAAAGCTCGGTAGTCAAGGAGTTGCGTTGCTGCAGTGGTCCAGTGGAAACTTTTGATCTCGCCTGTCTTCGCTTCGTCGAGAACCTTGGATGGGTTTGAATGACGGATTCGGGCACAGATTCCCAGTTGGATGAGGAACAAGGACTGAAAATGGGGAAACGTGTGTTGATGTAGAGATTGTGACGACCAAGCGAGGTCGAAAAGAGGATGCGGCAATGGGCGAGGCCCTGTACTGTGGCTCTGTGCTGTCAATGCTGCTCGAATTGCTTGATGCCTGCTTGTTGATGCCTTGTTGATAGAAGACGTGTTGTTGACCTGGGATCGTACAAGGGGAACAGGGAGGCCGATGTCTGGACCCAAAGTATGAGGTAAGGTACCCGTCGTCGTATGCTATGTAATTGGTATCCGTAAGGTAGAGGAGCAAGGTTGGGTAAGGTAAGATTGAGATGAGGTGAGGAGGTGTTTGGATGAAGGCTGGCAGAGAAGAAGCAATGGCGAGAGTATTGACAGCGGCAGGAGCGAACAGCGGCGGTGAGATCGAACCAATGGCGGAGGAGGGTGGGTTGAGAGATATGAAGATGGCGGGATGAAAGAATGAAGTTGACAATGGACGAGTAAGAGAAGAAGAACTGTGACTAGTAGGGCACCTTGAAATTGATAGTCGGGTAGATGCAATGCGATGGCAGCAGCGGCAGTAGGTCAGTTGACTCTTTTGTTGGCTACGGCCCTGGTTGTTGGGATGGGAACCGGAGCATGTGGTCTGACCTTGGGCCGTTGATGACGGAGCCGTGGACGGGTGATGGTGTTCTTGAGAGTGGTATCCGTAAAACGCATTGCCTTTGTTTTAGTCTGGGCCTCTTTTTCTCTCTTTTTTTCTCCAGTGCAATGTTTACTCTACATCCATCGTCCCTGTTGACAGTGACAGCTAAGCTAATAGGTACTACTGCGTAAGGTCTCTGGATAAGCAGGCATCATCCCCCTCCGATCTATGATGGGCCATTGTTCTCGACCTTGGATCTGGCATCGCACATGCGCTTTTCCATTGTTTTGATGGACGCCTCGTCAGATCAACAAGACGAAACGAAACCATCGTCCACGCTCACACGGAAACCAGTGGGCCAAGGCTTGCGTTTGCAGGCGTGGCGATCCACTAGGACGGACGTTATTCAGGGGCTTGCAGCAAATGCAGCAAGCGTGCAACACCATCGTCTGCAAGGAACCTGTAAAGACGCAGCGACGCTGCAACAAGCCGCAGCAGGAGTCAAGAACCTGTCAGGAACCGATGGGCGGCCGGGCAACAGGCTCGAAAGATGGGCGGCGGACTGACGGCGGCGCCGGACGGGAAAGTCTTGGAAAAAGGGCCCGAGGCATCAGCTAGCAGATCTCCAAGAAAACTACCTACTACGTACGGTACAAAATACTATGAAAGAGTGCTGGTGTGCAGGTGTGCAGGCCCCGGCAAGGGTCCGCAGGAAAGAGCTGGGATGAACCGTGGCCTGTGTGGGGACTCCCCAATCTGACAATTTCCCTGAAATTAGCAGCCAATCACAGCCGCGCTTTGTTTCCCCGACTCTTGTCAGAAACCCACGTGACTGCTCCTTTCGACCTTTTCCAGAACCTGCCCATTTATGCATTTACTCAGACCCCCATTTGTGCATGCACTACGGGTAAACTAAGGGTGGAAGATCGTTGCATAATCACACCACTACGGATGCACTTAATTGACTTTCATCCACCTTTTGAGCCGCCAGTCTGGGTCTGGTGCATGTCACTAAGGTGGACTCCTAAATCCGTCCATTCTGATGTGCCCTCCCTCCACTACGCAAACGCACGCCCACACGTGAGACCGCACCACCACTAATTGAGACGCGTGACGCGACCTTCCCGCGGTGGTCAACATCTGCATGACGCTCGCAAGAGGCACAGGAGCCATCTGGAAGCGGTGACGGGACAGGAAGGCAGCAAAAGACGGTAGCACTTCACCTTAGGCATCATCACGGTTCACTACAGAACTGCTCTTCATCTCACCCAGCATTCACTGGTGCTTATCATCCCTTTTTAAACCTTGGTGACGTGAACCTAATACGCTTTCTCTCGGAAGAATAACTTGGTCGATTCATCTCCAATATCCCAAGCAATGCTCTGACGACTGAACCCACCCTTCGCGGCCATGCTAGAGCTACGAAGCCGTCACGATGCCTCTTCCCTTTGTTCTCGTCTGCGATCTTCTGGAGCAGGCCTACAAACAGTGTAAAACCGGCGATAAAAATCTAAAGCAACGTGTGTCCAACTGGTTCACGCTGCACCGCCAACATATCGACGACCCTGGAATAGATGCCTCTGCTCTGCTCTCTACTCTCCTCCCGGACAAGCGCACCGATCGTGTATACTGCATCCAGGCCGACACGCTAGCCAATATCATTGGTCGCACTTTTGGCCTCGGAACGTCACGTCTCCAAGAATTGCGTCGATACAAAGAGGCAGGTCGCGGCGAGGATCTGGCTGACTGTGTTGAGAGAATCTTCAAGGAAACGGTGAGTTATTGGCTGCGTTACAGATTGGAACTGAGGAGCTTTCCCCAGCTCATGGACGAGGAAGCAATAGGAGGATCTGCCCATGCTGACATCACTGCTAGCCTCCTCCTATCTGCATCGGAAAAGATGCTGTGACTGTTGAAGAAATAGATTCAACCCTCAACAACCTCGCTGCCTTGTGTAGGTTCAGCTCGCCCGTTGTTCGGGCCTCGCAGCCCTATTCCAGCAGCAACAATCGGCAAGAACTCCTCGGTCACTTATACCTTCGCCTACAGGCGCGAGAGGCCAAATGGCTCACCCGCCTGATACTGAAGAACTTTCAGCCAGTCATGCTGGATCCTTGTCATGTCTATCATTGTTACGACCCCCTACTACCCATGATACTCCGGGTCCAGGACAATTTTGATGCGGCCTTGTCTCTTCTCAGAAATCTGAGGAAAGAGCCCTCGTTCCTCCATGGCTCAGGAGATCAGAAGCGAAGAGATCTAATGCAGCACCTGACGCCCGTCCTAGGCACCAAGGTCGGAAGGCCATTCTGGCTTAAAGGGCGTAGCATCAAGCACTGCATGAAGCTCATCCAAGGCCGTATGAGCTGCGAGAAGAAAATGGATGGCGAGTATTGCCAAATCCACATAGATTTGAGCAAGGGGTTCAAATGCATCCAAATATTTTCCAAGAGTGGCAAGGACAGCACCAAAGACCGCGCTGCGTTACACGGGTGAGTCTTCAGCATCACTTTGCCACACATATGTCATCTGCTGATGAATGCAGAGCTATACGCGACTCTCTCAACATTGGGAGAACGAATTGCAGGCTCTCCAAGGGATGTATCCTTGAGGGCGAGCTCGTCGTCTACAGTGACTTGGTATGCCCCATCGCATCAGCACAACGTCCGGAAACTGACCAGATAAATAGGAGAAGAAGGTTCTGCCGTTCCATAAGATACGCAAATACGTTACGAGGTCAGGCAGCTATCTGAATACGGAAGCAGACTCGCAGTAAGTCAACCTTTGCGGTAGATCAGCCCGCATCCTATCACCACGCTGTCTGTTCCTACGGTGCAATGCATCTCCCTCCTTCCGCTCGACGCGTCAGCTGACGGGAGCTTTGTCTGCTCAACCAACACGATGGATCCCAGCTAATGTTTCTAGGCGCTACGACTATGAACACTTGATGATTATCTACTTCGACGTTTTACTCATCGATGGGGAATCTCTGCTGGGTGCCAGCCAGAATGAGAGGTTCAAGCGACTGACGAAGTTGATCAACCGCCGAGAGGGTCATGCCGACCTTGTGGAGCGCCAAGTCATTGATCTCAATGATAGACTGGGAGTGCATTATCTCCGACGAGCCTTTGCCGAGTCCATTACTGCCCGGGAGGAGGGCCTGGTGCTGAAGCCAGACGACCCCTATTTCGACTTCAGCGAGAGTCGCCGCTCCTTTGCTGGTTGCCCCGTCAAGTTGAAGAAAGAGTACATCGGAGGTTTTGGTGATGTGGGCGACTTTGCTGTGGTTGCAGCGCGGTACGATGCAGACAAGGCAAAGTGGTACGGCATACCCAACCTCAAGTGGACACACTTCTATCTCGGTTGCCTCGAGAATAAGGAGGATGTAGAGAGGTGCCAGGCACAGCCTGTGTTCACAGTGGTTCACCAGGTGGAACTCAACGAGACCCTCCTCAAGACCGTCTCGACCTACGGCAACCCGATGCCAGTGTCTTTTGGTGACAATGATGCCCTGATTCTTCATCTCGCACCAGGCATCGCTCAACAAAAGATGCCCACCGTTGTCTTCACCGAACCGCTGGTCTTTGATGTCCGCTGTTTCTCATTTGACAAGGAGGGAAACACCAACTTCTGGCAGCCGAGGTTCCCTCAGGTGTCCAAGGTACACTTTGACCGATCCTTCATGGACACAATCTCTTTCCCTGAATTGCAGGCCGTGGCTGAAGAAGCAACCACCACTCCGGCCATGGAAGACAGTCAGCAAATGCTGGACTGGATTGCTAAACTGGAAAGAGCGGACCCTCGTGGTGTCCCTGTTGATGGTGTCAGTCAATCCACGACGGGCTCTCTCATGACGCCATCTCGTACTTCTTCCGTCCGGCCTTCAACTTCGCCGGTGCCGAATTTTTCCATAAGCCCTAACAAACATCTCCAACGGTTACCAGCATTGGTAGAAGCCCCAGAGCTAACTCTCATGACTCCTCCAACCTCATCAAACAAGGTAGCAGAAATGGACTTCATCGCTGAAGACAAGACTGCCAGCGAAGCAGCAAATTCGCCGAGGGCCAGCAAAAGGGGCCCAGAGGGGGAAGACGCTACTCCGCAGAAGCGACAGAGGGTTTCTTCCGAATCTGGCACCACCGGTCGAGAGCTGCCTCCGCCAACTCGTCGACCGCTCGGGGATATCAGTGCCAATCAGACGTCTCTCTCTCCTCAGGCGTCCCAAACACGGCCAGCGACAGCAAAGCACATTATGGTGGACCAGACAGCGCCTATTCCAGCCATTCCTGCCTTACACGAGCCGGGCAAGGCGATGGCAGGATCTGTCGCAGAAACACCTGAGCCGCGTCCTCAGAGCGCGTCAGAACCTTCGTCTCCACAAGCGAAGCCCAAGTGCCAACACGCAGGCGACAATTGTATCTTTGCAGATACGACGGTCTTACTCGCGCCCTGCATCGCCCGACAACCCTGGGTCACCGAAAATCTCCTTCCTCTTCACGGTATCCACGAATGGACCGCGGATCCGCAAGACTGGATAGCACCCCCCAACACAACCGCATCATCATCATCCTCAGCAGCATCTCTGTCCTCAACACCCGCATCTACCTCGGCCACGAACCGTTCCCGAAGAAAGCGGCCCCGGAAAATCTGCTTCGTCGAACACAACCGCAGAGAAGCAACAAAGACCTTGTTGAAACGTCTGGATGATAATCCAGTATACACGCCGAGTGGCAGGCGCGAGTACGTTGAGGTGCACGACTGGCGCCTTTTGGAGGACGTCACGGCGTTGGAAAAGGTGCTCAAGGGGTCAAAGCCGTCCAAGGAGCTGCCGGATCCCAAGAGGAAGTGGTGGGTTGGATTGGCTTAGCAGAATGTCGTCTTTTTCATTTCTTTTCCGGATGTTGGCTTTGGGGATGAGAATGATCATGTCTGTACTTTGCATAGCGTAGTCAGGAATATTACACATCACGGCGCCGATGGTCGTTTTACGAATGCATACGAATATTGACTTGTCCATTTACTAAAACTCACGCCTTGGTCTCCTCCTTGTACAGTCCCTTATAACTCTCCCTCAGCCTCATGAACAAATGATCATCAGCAGTCATGACCTTGCGCTCCGCGTAGGGATTCGCGTTCGGCGTCCCCTCGGGCGCGACAAACTCCTTCACCCTATCGCTCGGCACGGGATCCAACGCCACGGAGCCCACGGGGTGACAGAAGAAGGCCATGGAGTACCTCGGCCCCGTATCCGTCTCGCCCTCGGCGCCCTCCCCGCCAAACACGACGCGGTGGACGGTGCTCCGGAAGAGGCCGTTGGTCCAGTAGCTGAGGAGGTCGCCGATGTTGATGAGGATGGGAGGCAAGGGGTCCGCTTCGGTGCCGGGCGGCGTGACGGGGACGGGGGCCCAGGTGTTTTCGCGGGTGAGGATCTCGAGCCCCGCCTGGCCGCGGAGGCGGAAGAGGAGGGTGACGGACCCGTAGTCGGAGTGGGCTCCGGCGCGGACGTCGTCTGGGTTGGAGGAGGTGGCTGAGGTGGGCGGGTAGTAGAGCATGCGGAGGATTGTGCCCGAGTCGCCCTTTGAGCGGAGGTGGGCAGACGAGAAGAAGTCTGTGGGGTTGACCTAGTGACACAATTCAGTGAGCTGCTCGAGAGAGGGAAGCTGAAGAAAACGAGGGATGATTACATCAAGGCCGATGCCGAGAAGCTCAAGGAGTTCTAGACAGAGGGCATGACACTGATCTCTGAATGAGTTCAGGAAGGGCTCATCTGATTGGATGGTGGGAGGCAGAGGTTGCTGGGCCTTGCCGTCCTTGAACTCGCCAAAGTTGAAGGCCCTGAATGGTGTGTAAGTCAAAATGCAAAGAAGCTCAAAGATACTTTAACCTTACTCCTTGTAATCGCCAACCTATGAAAAGTCAACATCTGAATATCCCCTAGATTTGGGTAGGATCAGCCATACCTTTTGGTTCTTGGGGTCGAGAGTCTCAGAGTGCATACCAGACCAGCCGCGGTTGTTCTTCTGGATGGTGCAGGCGGCCTTCTCCTCGACAGGTGCCTTGAACAACTTCTTGGACTAGGTACTTTTGTCAGTCGAGCTGCTCTGAAAAGAGATTCCGCTTCGAGTTGGGTCGTACCAGATCAAATGCCAAGTCTTGGTCGCTTAGCGCAATGTACTTGCCCGTGTTGCGGATATAAATGAAGCCATGTTCGACGGCGGCATCGACAAGTTGGCGCGCAATGGCGGTCCTGTCGACACCCTCCGCCGCAATGTCAATAATCGGAATATTAGCCTTTGGCGCCATGGTGTATTTGTCTCCGTCTGTTTGTGAATTTACGGTTCCGAAGGTCAGACAGAGTACTACGAAAGGGAAGCGGCCGGAGCTGACTTATTAGAATGGAGGGTTGGAGGGGCGAGATTCAACCGAAGTCGCGCGAAGTGGGATGCGATAAGCGATAAGACTGGGATGATGGAGGGGCGGACGGGACCGCTTGGGGCCGGGGCAACGACTTGGGTAATGACTATTACGAAGCGTTTGATAGTGACGGAAGGGCGGAGAGGGCCGAGGTAGCGGGATATCCGTGGTCAGATTTGGTATCACGAGAGGTTGACGGGTCCTGAGGTGTCGTGTTGCACTCGTCGGATGTGTAACCTGCCTACTGAGGAGGACAGTGAATGTTCGGCTATTGGAATGGAGAAGGTAATATTCAGGTAGCGAAGTTCAAACTTGACAAGAGCTTGTCAGCTAGCCAACGTTCCCCAACGCCACGGAATCCAACGGTCAGGCTAGGCCGAGAGAGCGAATAAGATGTAGTCCAAGCTTACAATGGATGAAGTGAACAGAGCCCGTCTACTCGGAGCGTTGATGTCAGTGTTGCTCTGGTTGAAGGAACCTCCGCATGCACCAGGGCCAGGTTGTCAATTGAGCAGGGTTCAGGCCGTATAATCGCACTTGCGCCATCGCGTGCTCTTGGTAAATTGCTAGTAGGCTTCTTGGCCACGTGCTTTCGGATGAAGAACAGACAGACGGAAGCTGATACAAACAATTGCTACCATCTAGACCTTGGATATTCCGTATGAGTAGCCAGCTGTGGGTGTTTGAGACATGGAGACGCCATTGTGCGTATATGCGGGAGGTGATTAAATACTAGTGACCAGTCATGAAGGCTCAAACTTGGGCAACTCCATAGTGGCATGGTAGGGGCCGGGTATGCGAAGATGATGGAAGTACGCGACGGCAGATCCCATTGCAGCTGTAACCCGAAAGCTTGCTGTGCTCCCGAGAAATGTCATTTGAAGATGTTTGTCGGGGGGCAGACATGCAAGGGGCCGGCGAAGAAGAGGGATCAAGACATGGCTGCATCGCACATCCCTGACACAGAGGACAGGCGAATATAAAGAGCGGGGATCGGGGGGCAGCGGGGACGGGAACCGCTGCATGGTCGGTCAATTGATGCTGCCTGTGGCTCGAGCGATGGCTCGTGTTGGCGGGAACTTGGACCGACAACGTGCTGCTGGTAGGAGATTGATATCGTATAAGGTGGTGGACGTATTTCTCTTGAGGCTCGTCAAATGAATCAAAAGAACCTCTATGTATATTGTGCATCCGATGATTCTTATTGCACTACCTTATCTTATGTAACCGTAAGGTACGTAGGTAAGATGGGAAATGTCCACAGGCGCCTAAATGTGCAACCCGAAGGAAAAGCCATTACCTACCTTACAGACAGAAGGAAAGCACCTTCCAAGTGGAAACATCGTGGGAAGAACTCATCTCAGGGCGACAGTCGTGGAAGCAGCAAGCCACATGCACCGCCACAGATGGCACCCACATCTTTTTCCCTTCAATACCTTAGGTATGTTCCTTCCACCTCTCACACACGCTAACCCTACAACTTCCCTAGCGCCTCGAAACCCAAGGGTTGCCAACTTGCTCCCCCTGTACAGCGGTGCGGTACCTCGCACCTGCGTTCCTGAACCCCCAAACTTTCCCAATTACCTCCCCTCCGCCAGCGCCAGCGTTCTTTTCCAAAAAGCTCCCCTCTTCTTTTGAGACACGCTTGTCAGTGTCATTGGCCCTGCAGACGGCCGTTCCCTTTTTCATGACAAGCTCAGTCATTCCTTTGCAAGTTATTCCGACTTCTTCTACAAAGCGCCCAGTCTCTTTGCTTCCGCTCCCCTGAGTGGTCTCGCGACCCAAGCTCCACCCGCTTCCCACCTCCAAACGGCTTGTTGTCAACTCGAGCTGACGAGCTCCTCGCCGTTGCGCAAGGCCCGACAAGATGCCTTGTGAGTCTCCCTCCTCTCTCCCGCCTCTCCGAACTCCCAACCCCGCGATGCGCTGGCCCTCTGCTCTGCTCTCCGATCTCCTGCTTCCCGATCCTCGCCTCGCCGTCACATGTCTTCAAGGCTACCTGCGTCATACCCGCTTCCTGCGCCTCAAATCATCCGATTCCGCCGTACCTGCCTGGAAGCTCTACACACCCACATACATCGTAGCTTCGCCTGTCGAGAAGCATCAAGACTCTGCCTGAGCATTGGCCTCGAACCTTTCGAGCTACACCGGTCAAAAAAAGGCTATTTCGGCTTTCTGGGAACAGCACACTTCACCACACCAGGAAGGAACGGCGGGCAGGACGATTCCGGCCCGGCACCTCAGCTTCTTCTCACTCCCGCGCCTCACAACCGCTGGGCTATGCTCTGCGATTTGTACCATGAGATTTACTGACTCAATATGACAGGTCTTGTGGAGGACGCTTGGATCAATGGCCAGGCAACGTGAGTCGAATAGTGTTTCAACGTCGAGATTCCTTTAACTAAATCATTGGGGCAGGAGTCACGATGTCTCCGAGCTCGAGGACTGCGCGATAGCCATTGATGCGACATACTACCTCCAACTCTTCCTCGACACCCCTCCTTTCCACGAACCTCTCCTGCCCGCTCTGGGTGGCATGACTGGCATCGAGCACCATCTCCGAGCTGATATCGATCAATGGAAGGCACACAAGATTGTTCCCTTCTTCATCTTTGATGGACAGTCTGTGACCGGCCAAGAGGAGGTCGCCGTTCAGCGAGGCCGAACTGCCAACCAGAAGACGGACGAAGCTTGGAAGCTATACTTCAACAGCCACGCACAGGAAGCTGTCGACGCGTTCGGTGCCAATAGCGGTATGCATTATCGCTGTCATGCCGAGGGGCCACACTGACCGTGAGACTGCAGGCGCTTTTCGCATCCAGAACCTCTACCCCTTGCTCAAGTCTATCCTGAAGGACAACGACCTGCACTTCCTTGTTCCCCCCTACAATGCCTCCGCTCAGGTAGGTTCGAGCTTGAATTGGCCGAGACATTCAATGCTGACGAGCTATTAGCTCGCCCACTTCGACATGATCGATTCAGACCAATGCGCCGCTGTCATGGGCTCGCAGGAGCTGATCCTGTATCCGATCAAGGACACTCTGATTCGCACGATAGATTGGGAGGCAAAGACCGTCACTTCGTTATCCAAAAAGAACCTTGTGCGGTCACTGAACATCAGCGAAGGCATGTTGAGCGACGCTCTCCTCATGACCGGAACCTCCTTCCTACCACCCTTCCCACCACTCCTGGACACTTCACTCAACCCACGCCAGCCTTTCACGATCAACGATGCTGTCAACCTTCTAAGAGCGTCGGAAAAATCTGTCCAATCAGCCTGCAGCTCCTACGGCGACATTCTGAAGTCAAAGGACCCCAAGTGGCTGGACAAGTACAGACAAGCCAAGATGGCCGTCAACCACTTCATCTATATATCCGAAGAAGGCGAGATCAAAGTCAACGACTTTGATCACATCACAAGTGACAATCACGAATATCTTGGTCTTCAGCTTCCTGGAGAGTTGTTCCACTACCTCAACACTGGTCTCATTGGCTCTCGCGTCCTCGACTATATAACACATAGCCGAATCGTCGTCACGCCCACGCTGGACGGAGTTGCCTCAGAACAGTATAGAAAACTGGTTACAAGCCAACTTGTTCCTCTCAAGGAGCAGAGCATCGCGCTTCTGATACCGAGACTTCACCGTGGTCTCCAGCACAACGCCATCACCATGAAGGTTTGGTTCGACGACAACTTCTCGTATAAAATCAACAAGTCTCTTCAGCCATCACCATCTCAGCGTGCCGCCACATGGGACGTGAAGGAAAGCTCCTTCAAAACTGTTGCCGAAGGCGTCGATGAACCCCCTGGATCCATTGCTTTCGAGATTTTGGCACTCCTATTCGATGATTTCGTCAAAGGCACCTTCCCCAAAGAGAAGAAGCGTATTGGAGGCATCGATTCTGTTGAGAATATCACGGCGGTCGCCATCTGGAGATTCCTCCATCTCCGCGGCTACGTCGATGATTCGCACACATTGACGAACTGGGGTAACGCCGTTGCCAGCGCAATCTGGGCGATGAAGGATTCGCTCAAGGACTTGCAGGTTCCTGAAGGTCTCAACATATTTGAGGCTATCCTGAATGCGTTCGAGCTCATCAGGCACGATGTGCTCAATTCAGGCCATCGACACGAAGAGCTTAACGGAGCGCCAATGAACGGTACTGACGAAGAAAAGGCGAGCATCCTTCTCATCAGCAGATGTGCCTCCCTATTGAAACTTCGACACGAGTCTAATGGATACACCGGGCCGCTCAACAAGAACCTTCTCCTCTTCCGGTCACTTTCGACTGCTGTGCGTGAGGCGGATCGCGACCTCGTTGAGGCAATTGTGGCGTCCATGTTCCTGTACGCACAGTCAAAGAGAGATCGCAACGACTACCTGCAAATCAGCCAGACGTAAGTGTCTTTGGTTTTCCTCAATCAATTCAGCCACTAATCGGTCTCACACAGTTTGCCCTTCCTCCACAACCCTGACATCGCTCTGGGAATTGCGGTCAAGACACTCATGGACGAGCTTCCCGTCGGTGATATCGCGCTGCGACAAGCCAAAATCGAAGAGTTCCCCACGAGCTTCTTCCCCTACGCTACCAACTTCAAGGAGGATATTCAACTTGCATTTGCCTTTTTCGACGCCATCCACAAGGGCGTACAGACGCTCAACAAGGAGGTTTCGGCAGCTGACAAGGCGGTATGGTCAACAGCGAGCAAGTACCTAGACCAGAGGCGGTTTTAGGGCTGAAGATGTCTGGCCTTGGAGCGTGGCGTTGGAGAATCAAAAGCAGACGAAGGACTGGACAGCACAAGAGACGCGAGCACTATGCGCTCCCGGGGTGGAATATGAGACATTTGTCAGTCCGTGTATAGCCTCGGGGGTTTGGAGCGTGCGGCGGGGCTCGAAGCTGGATCCAGACAGAGATCAAGTTTGCATTACAATTTTCATAAAGCCGTAGGTTAGCTGTCCTATATCAGATGTATGGAAGCAGACTTTACCTATAAATCAGTAGTGCCTGAGGTATATAAATGGCGTACTCTCGGCCGATTACGCGGGTGACTTTTGGTGGGTGTTAAGCTAACACTGGCAGACTCTGTTTCTCGCATTCTCTTGCTTATATCGATGGCACACAGGAGCATTCGTATGCCAAGACGGAGAGCTGCTTTGGGTATTGAGTCTAGCTGATTCCTACAAAAGTGACTCCAAAGCCAGCCGCTCAAAGCCAAAAACCTCGGGCTGATAATAATGTACGTCACCGTCATGAGCCAATCCGTGTGATCTCTCTCTAACCAACGCCATCAGCTTATGCCGTGCTGAAGATGCCTCCTGAACCTCCCCTGAACGCCAAGTCCATGCAAATAAGCCAATTGTGTTTCTGTCCTCAAATCTCGTCTCGCCGTAAGCAACCCCTGACTGCGTCGAAGCATCATGAGCAATTGCCCGTTCAAGTGAGCAACCGTCTCTTGATGGGCTGAGGCGCGACCGTCTCATTGATCTCCAACTCTTCCGTCGCTTGGATCTTGTGGCCCATTTGGCGGATCTTCTCGAGCAGGTGACTAGGACGATTGTTAGCAAAACTCATCTCAAATGGCAGCTGAACCAGCTGCAAGGTCGCCCTAGATGCCTGAGAAAATATCGCTCTCATTTGTGTCGTTCACATTAAATTCGACCTGCCACGAGGACCGTTTTCTGTCTCTATTTGGAACATATCCACTCGGATTTGTGTCCCAGAAAGGAGAAACTTCTGGTGGCTCGTCTGAAACACAAGCATATCTAAATTCAGGAGACGAGAGTGGGGAGGCATACTCTATGGGTAGGTGGTTCTTGTCGCCCTCCGTCACAGCCAAGTTGATGCGCTGGACCTGATTCTCGTCTTCGTGGTAGTGTTCGTTCTGCATGTGCTCGTTGATTCTTATACGTCCTTCTTCTGATTCTGGATTTCGTTCGACAAACCCGCAGTCGTCCTCGTCACAGACCCAAGTGCCGTTAGGTCCTTTAGGTATTGTTGTTGGGATATTCTCTGCTCGCACAACGACCTTTAGTGCGGTGGGCGATTCTGCAGAATCAACACTGGACTCGTCATCTTCAGAGCTGCTGCCATCATTCATGACTTCATCCTCGTCAGAAGCGTCACCGGCATGGAACCTCTTTGCGACCTGTCGGGAGACACTTTCTGGGGTCTCGTCCCCGGGGTCAAATCGTCGCTTACCACCGGTGCCGGCAAGCCGAAGGCCTGACATCTTTCCGGCCGGTCTACCGACACGTCTTGGAGGAGGAGTTGCAACATCCGTGCTCCCCTGGGCCTCTTCAGGAAGTGACGGCCAACGATTCCGCGGGTTTGATACTTCCTTCGCCTTCCGCCGCGTTAGGGCTTCAGGAATTTGCTCAAGCTGAATGTGCTCAAGAGAGAAGCGAGGACCTTGGGCAGATTCTTCGAGCGTTTTCCAGAAACCAGACCCTCTCCACTCATCCTGATCCAGGCGTTCAACCAGCTCTTTCGCATAGTACTTGAGAATGTCTGCCGCTCCCAGGTAGGCTTTCACCTTGTACTTGTAGTACAACTTTGATGACACTTTGGAGAACGCTGCTTTACTCAACGGCTCAGCTTCGGGTTTGATGTCGTCAATGGCTTCTAGGAGGGCGTCCACGTTGGATCGGTCATGGACAGTTCTAACAAGTTCCGTCTGAGTTGGAACCTCTGGAGTCTCGTCCACTGCCATGGCTTCCTCCAAAGGTTCGGGGGCGGGGGGCGACTGCGTCTTGGTCTTGCCCCTTGATCTGGACCTCATGTCCCTTGCAGAAAGAGCAAAGTCGTGCGAATCGGTCTGGCTATCGTCGACAGGTGTGCCCCTTTGCTTTCGTTTCGACAACGCCTTCTGCGCGGGCGGGTCGTCCGAAACAGTCGGTGTCACCACAGCTTCGGCCTCATCTGGTATCGATGGGTCAGGCTTAACACCCGCTAGCTTCTTCTTCCTGAGCTCAAGGACTTTCTTATGAATATCCTAAATTGATCAGTTGGATCTCCAGCAGAGCGAGGTGGAGCTACACATACTGGGTGTCGCTCTGTCATCCATTTGAAAAAGAGCGTCGGCGTCCATTCGAATTCTGGCTCTTCATAGAAATGGGATATGAGGAAAGATGCATGATCGTCGCAGCGCTGCTCCACCTCCTCAAGAGTAGCACCATCACCCATGGCTACTGCATACTGTTACTTGTGTCAGCATAGATCGCTAAATTCTTCTCAGCGTCAGGCTCACCTTGAACAACAACGTCTCAATGGTCATTGCCGCACCCTTCTTCTTCTTGGGGCCCTTCCTGTTCGTGTTGGCTGCAGCGTGCTCCTCGATGATGTCTAGAATCGTGTAGTAGACCGAAACCCCTTCGATTGTGTGGTCGAATATCGCCTTGTAGGCGGCTGATGGTGGTCGAATTTCGTACCATCCCGCCGCGCCCCCAGCCCACGCGCCATAGCCATTGTCGCTAACGCCGATAGCGTAACGAGTGCATTCGTGGGTTTCGATCAAGGCTAATTTCATAGAAGGTTTTACGGCTGCGTAATGTAAGCGATTGGAGGCGATGGGTATTCATGGATCAAGCCAGACCTCTTGCCGTCTGCGGTCCATCGATGATGACGCGACCTCGAACAGTGAATGGGCCCTGGGTATTGACGGTAAAGAGCTCAACGGGATTGCCCTTCTTGTCGCAGACGATGGCATCCTCAAGAACAAACGTTTGCAGCATGTCTCCCTCCACAGGATCGTATCTCTTGAGAATGCTAAGTTCTTTAGCATAGGCCCGCCTGTCGGGTTCGACGGTACCAGTCGTCGAATCCGACGTTCGTCGCCGCCGTCCAGCCATTGTCCTGTTTAAAGCTGCAATCGTTCGAGGTGGTGAGGGCGGGGGTTCTCGGTGCACGAGGCGTAAATGTGTGCTAGGCGCAAGTTCATCAGGCTTGGGATGCGTTTCCCAGTGGGGGAAGAATGAGATGTTGCGGGGTGATAGTGCAAGTTGCGCCGGGCCACAACGACGATGTGTGGGTAGGTGGGAAGAAAGCACGCGAACGCGGTTCTCAAATCCATTAAAGAAAGCTGGAGCGCGCGGAACGTTGTGCCTGCGTACCGTATGAAGTACAGTTACTGATGCGGGGCAGGCGACCACCATTTCCTCCCCCCACTGGAGCTGGGAAGAAAGGTAGCGGGACTCGTCGCTTGTACAGGGGACTTGCTAGTCCCCGGGCCCAGCAGACAGGGGCTCTGTCATTCCTGGACCAATAGATAAGCCGATAAGAATCACTGGAACGTCCCTTCCTAAAAAATTTCCCAGAACTGCATGCAGAGAAGCGCAAGATCCACGGAAAGCGCAAAAGCTAAAGAGAAGGCCGCACCTCCCCCCCACCGGCCGCATTGTTTCTTTCTCTCTTTTTCCCCCCAAGATCCTTCAACATCGGGCGAATGAGAATTACGCCCAATCTCTGGAAGATGGCGAAAGACACCGTGTACGAAGGCGTCTTCGGTAAGCGATGCCTCCTTGCTTCCCATTGCTGCTCTTTGGACGCCTCCAGGCGCGCGATGCGATTCGACAAACGCTGACCGTGGTATCTCCAACTCAGCCATCAACAAGCCGTACGGCATGAGCTCTGCGCAGGTGATCCGCGATTGCCAGCAGCAGATGAACCCCTCAGCCATGTTCAAGCCGTTGATCGAGAGAGACCTTGCTGCCAAGATGCAGGAGTCCAAGCAAGAGTGGAAGCGCCGCCGAGCCGTTAAGAAAGACTCCCGCGTAAAGATGGGCCACGGAGGCACACTCGACCCATTGGCGACCGGCGTGCTCATACTGGGTGTCGGATCGGGTACCAAGTCACTCGGCTCATTCCTCGACTGCACCAAGACCTACGAGACGGTGGTACTATTCGGCGCAAGCACAGACACCTACGACCGCGTGGGTAGAATATTGAGCAGACGGCCGTACGATGAGATCACAAAAGAAAAGGTCGAGAAGGCGATGGACAGCTTCAGGGGCAAGTTCGAGCAGATCCCTCCTCTGTACTCGGCACTCAAGATGGAGGGAAAGCCGCTGTACGAGTACGCTCGTGAGGGCAAGGCTATCCCTAGAGAAATCGTGGGACGCGATGTTGAAGTATCCGAGCTCGAATTGGTCGAGTGGTACGAGCCGGGAACGCACAACTACAGATGGCCTACCGAAGAGGCGGAGACGGCCGAGAAGAACCTCGCTGAGCAGGTCTGGCGAGTGGAGAAGCAACAGGGCTCCGGCCGCCGGCTTACTCCCGAGGAGGAGAAGGAAGAAGAGAAAGCCCTCTCCGAGCACGAGACTGTCAAGAAGAAGTTTGAGGAGCGCCAGGACGGTCTTATCCGCGACAAGCCTGCCAAGAAGCAGAAGCCGCCCAAGAACCCGGCCCTGATGTCTGGCGCCTTGGGACAGCTCCCCGGCGGCAAGGGCTCCAACCTCATCCCGCCACCTCCGTCTGCGGATGAGCCGTTCCCTTGGACCGACAAGGGCCCGCCCGCTGCCAGGATCCGCATGAAGGTCACGTCTGGATTCTACGTTCGCAGCTTCTGCCACGATCTGGGTGCCAAGGTCGACTCTGCGGGTATGATGGCCGAGCTTGAGCGATCCCGACAGGGCGACTTTGAGGTCCGCACTGATAGCTGCCTGGAGTACGATGACGTTCTCAAGGGAGAGGAGGTCTGGGGACCTAAGGTCGCCAAGGCATTGTCTGAATGGACCGAGAAGTACCCCAACGGAGCGCCGCAGTCGCAACGCGAGCGACAGAATGCCCAAGGCCAGCAGAAGCAGCAGCAGAACCACGGCCGCAAGGATGACAGGAAGCGCAAGTGGGAGAACAAGAGCTTCGAGAAGAACGACAACGCGTCCAAGAAGAGGAGAAACTCCAGTTCGGGAGACGAGGCGCCCGCCGCCAAGGTTGTCAAGTCGGAGCAGGCCAGCGATGTCAAGGAGTCTTCGCCCAAGAAGTCTCCCAAGGCGTCACCCAAAGGTTCTCCCAAAACTTCTCCCAAGGCGAAGTCAGCTAACAAAAAAAAGTTTGATGACGTATGGGAAGGCATTCAAGACTAGAGCTTGAGCGTCGCATAAGGTAGACGAGACACAACGTACACAGAGACACAAGGGCTTTGTTATGAAAACATTTCAGTTTTTGAGGCTACGGCCTGGGAAAAGGGCACGGCGTACGGAGGCTTCATTTAGCATGACCGAGAAAAGCATTGCAGATCGAGGGGTGACCCGACAGTTGGACACATCATTTCGATTTGCCCATTTGCCCGTATAAATAAGAAGGTGACGAAGTTTATCAGTTAAAACAGCTTGATCATTTGATTTGTGTTCTCCGGATCCTAAGGCCGTGTGACCTGATGTGCAATATCTCCGGTATTACCATTGTATATTCGTCAATACCTACTATACTAGAGGTATGACAATCGATTTGCTTCCTTTCCTGCCATCAGTTGAAAAGGGGACTTCTGCCCAGAAGCTTAAGATGGTTCTACCCCTAATCCTGAAGTGCAGCGCTACCTACAACTGTAGCTCACAGGTTCGATTCCTGTGGGCGGACTTCGGCTTTGCTCCTTCCTCCTCGGCAGGATTTTTTTCCTAGTCCATGATGATTCGTTAAATTTACCCAGTATCTCCCGCCCAGTATGTAATTCGTGTCGTATCGTCATTAAAAAGTCCCGTGAATATCGCACCGCTATGCATCGTACATTCCTACTCCATCATGATTCCCAAAGTCCAGCAGGCTCTTCCCGTCACGGCTGCGAAGCCCTCTTTTGCTCCGCCGCCTCCCTCACACTCTCGTCCCTAGCATTCATCTCCCCCAACAGCGACCTCACCCTCTCGATCCGGCCCACGGCGCCCTCGAGCCGATCCAGCCGCCTCAACTTATCCTTGTCCCGCTTCTCCAGCGTCTCGACCCTCTCCTCGAGCTTCGCCCGCGCCCGCCGCTCCGTCGCAACCATCTCGTTGGCCTGCTCAAAGAGACTGACGCTCAGCTCCTCCACCTCCTGGCTCGTCGTGCTCAGCCTGCTCTCCGCCGCCATCCTCATCTTCTGCTCCCTCCCCAGTGCCTCCCGCAGATCCTCCGTCGATGCTGGGCCGTCAGGCGGTGGCGACGGCGTGCGCAGGTTCGGCGAGGACTTCATGCCCCGCGGGCTGAGAAGTTGCGACAACCTATTCGCGCCGCCGCTCAGAAAACTGGTGCGGGTGGGCGAGGGACTGGGAGCGAGAGGCAGCGCGGGGGCGAGGCCGGGAGAGGCAGCGGGGGTGGAGGGTCGGTGTGAGGCGGCGATGCGCAGACGTGTGAGCTCGTCTTCGTAGTCGGCCCAGCGGTCGACGGCGGCGGCTGCCTTTTGGTTGAGGAGGCGGACCTGGGCTTCGAGGTCGGCGATGCGAGACTGAGCTTCGAGGAGGGCGGGGGGCGCTTCGAGAACGACGCCGCAGGAGGGGCATGAATGTTGCTCTGAGCGGTCGGTTGAGAGGGAGAGGGTTGGCGGTGTTAGCGGCGGGTGCGCGGCGGTCATTGTCATTGTCGCGCTCATGGCTTGAGGGAAGGGGATTAGGTGTATTGTTCCTTCTAAACGCTCTTCTCGGCTGCGCGGTGAGGATGAAGCTGGGAGGTCGTTCGTACTCCTCGGTGAATTTCCGCGGGAAAATCGATTGCTGAGATGGGCGATCGACTTAGGCGTGAGAGGTGGCGGGGGATATAGATCAAGCTTCTTTTTAGGTTGTGCTCGAGGCGTTGCAAAGTCCCCGCGTGAGGAAAGGAAAGGCTACTTTAGCGCGGCGGGGGGGCTAGAGAGTTTGAAAGGTGTGACGTCGAGGTGCCAAAGGTTCGCCAGGAGGGGGGATGAAATGCGAGTGGTGGGTGGCCGCGCACGATCATATGTCGGGCTATTATATCTGGGAAAAATAGAGTGTTCGCACGGGGTGGTTTGGAACTCTTATTCGTAGCAGCGCGGCGCTTTGGGGAGGCAGAAAAAGTCAAGGTACGGATGCAGTTATATCGTCGCAGATTCGGTGAGATGTATCCGTTCGTAGTCGAATGGGGAATATTGAATATCGATAAGTCCACCAAGAGGGAAAAGCAAAGAGAAGGGAAGAAGAGACAATTGAAGGGTATGGGTTCGCAAAAGTAAATAAAGATGGCAGAGAGAAAACCCCATCTGCCTGAAATCCCGCCCACATGCCACCTTAGCCACCAGACTTACGTGACACCACACACACCTGCCCTTTTCTTTCCATGCCGTTTCCTTCCACGAATAAATTGACGACGCGAACGGTAACTGCGCCTCCTTGCTTTCGTGGGAATTCGGGGGTGGTAACGATGATTGGGGAGGAACGGTGGACCGGGGTCCTTCAGTGTCCCAAACGGGCGGGTCCTAACAAAACGGCGTCGGGCGATTGGGCGAAGAAACCCAATTTGGGCTTTACCTAGGTACTCCGTACGGGGGCCGACACTGCTCCACCCCATTTTCTGTTCCAGCACTCTCCTTGCGGTTGAAAGACTCATGAACCGAGATGGCAGGGAGAGACGGGAACGGTTGTACGACTGTTGCTTGAGCCTTAATTTGCTGCCATTTCTTTTACATTCTCTTCTATTTGCGGGCCGCAACCGTTTTGATTAAACAAAGTCATGTTTCTTCCTCCTGGTCCAAATTGACTGATTGCTTAAATTAATGCCAATTGCGGAATGTCCGTTCATGTCCATGCCCCAACGAGAACGGAACGACAGGTTACACTTGGGAATTTGGTGACATCCTAATCATGTAGGTGTCATGATTGACGACTATAGAGTGTAGACGACCATTTCCTGGCAATTCCTCCCCCTTCGCTCGTCCTTTGTCTCTGGCGCCCAATTTCCGTTCCCTTTTGACAACTCTTGATCGTCCCCTTGCATGAACAAGGCTCCCACATCGGACTGCCCATCAATCAGTCCTTTGACCTCGCCATGTCCCGTGCTGAGTCGTTGCAGTGTATCCGCACACAAAGGGCACTCTGCCGACCATGCAACCCTTCCAAACGGCCACTGCATCGTTGGTTGGCAGTGGAGCTCATGCTTTCATCTCTCGTCAACAATTCATGCACTGCTGCTGACGGCAGCTGTTGCTGATGCTGACGCTACCAGGAAGGATAGTAAAAGGCCGTAATTCTTGGTTTGCTGCGCTGGTGCACCGGCCAAGTCGGCCCTCGGATTCGGTCCAGAACTCTGAAACTGCTCAAAAAGCTCGCTGTCATGTCGTCATGCTGGCCCTCTCGTTTCGAAACGCCGTGAGAGCACTTCCCTGCCGAGCGAGGAGGGGGTACGAACAGCCATCAGCCCTCAGCCTCGTTCGCGAGGCGGTGCAGAATACTCTGCAACCTCAAGCGTCTGAGCGTATCCAGCTGCAAAGCTCTCCACAGCTTGACCTGCACATCGTGAAAAGGCAGGCAAGTAGATGAGAAAACGCGCCAATCAGTTTGGCTTGGCTACCTTGCGCGGCTCTCCGATGCCGGTCTCCGGGTCCTTGTACTCCTTCCAGCTGACCGGCACCATGTCGTTGCCAGCCTCGCTGGTGGCCATGATGACTCCCAGCTCATTGGCAGCGGTGGAGAGGTAGTAGTTTGCCTGGTCTCCTAGAGAAATCTAACATATCAAGTTAGCTACCCATCACAAGTCACATTTCAATGTCTTGCCAAAGGCCACTCACCACCTGTGCCCGCACCACGTCACCAGGCTTGAAGCTTTCATAAATCTTGACTTTGTCCTTCTCCGTCGCTCTCACGTCTTGAGAGCGAATGACACCCTGCCACTCCGTCTGCAGCACCGTGTCGCCAACCTGCTGGATCGTGACAATAGCCTGCTTCGGCATCAACCGCACGACGCGGCAGAGCACCATGTTGCCCACGTCTGGAAGCACCTCGCGCTTCTTGTTGGCGCCCTTGCGTGCCACGGAGATGGTCGCCAGCTCCTCGGGCGACAGCGGTGTGATGCGGTTGAGGCGCTTCGTAAGGCCGGCCGGGGCCTTGGCCGATGCTGTGACGGTCACATCGCCGAGCAGGGAGGCGACGACATTACCGTTGTAGACATGTGTTCCTGGACCGGCGGCGAACCGCGTGATAGGGCCGAGAACCTTGCCCGGCACGGCGGTCTGGGGAGTCTCAACCGCGGCCATGATGATGAGATCTTGAGGTGGATGATGACGTGTGAGAGCTAGCTGTGGTCGGAGCTCTTGTTCGTTCCTGTTGTCACACTTGAGTGAGTATGCGTGTGTATGTGACTGCTGAAAGTGAGATGTCTGATATGATTTGACCCCAGTCGCGAATTTCCCTTCGGCTCCGTATGTGAGGCTGGAGTATCAAAGTCCGTTCCGTTTGCTCGGTGGTTGAGATTGCACTTGTCAGAAACCCGAAAGTCCGATTTTTTTCTCAGTGAATTGCCCAGTCGACGGCCCCGCCATCCCGGATAGCTGCAGCTAAGCAGCAAAAAACCCATGGCCAGCCCCACCATCAAAGCTCCGTCAGGCCACTGGCAACTTGAGCTTCCGGGGCGGTGGCGCATGGCAGAAAGGGCAAAATGCAGGGTCCTGCCAATCTCTCAACCAAAAACAATAAGCGATGCGACAACGGGCACTGCAGCTCAACGAAGCCCTTCTTAAACCCATCTCGCCGGTGCTCCCGTCGCAAAACACCTTTCCCGTGTGCGCCCTCTCCGTTCTCCTCCACCGTACACAAGTCCGTCAATTGGACCACTACATTCCTTCCCCTTTCTTTGCACTTTGGTAACCCAAGTCTTACTCCAGACTTTTCGCGCAAATCACAATGCCGTCTCTCGGGCGCCTGTTTACACTGGCGCTGTGGATCGGTCTCCTGACCCCCATCTACATGTTCCTCGAGAAGAACTTGGAAAAGTTCTACATCTTTGACCACGAGCACCTACACGACCTCTCCAAGCGCGCCATCGCCACCCATGGAAACGATACGCGCTCCGTCGTCAACTACATTGTGACCGAGCTCAACGGCCTGCACCCCACCAACGTCAACCTCGACGAGGAATGGGTTTTTAACAACGCTGGTGGTGCCATGGGCGCCATGTACATCATTCACGCCAGTGAGTCTCCTCCTCTCCAACAATCTAAAGATAATGGATGGCAGTCTACTAACAAAAACCCACCAGGCATCACCGAGTACCTCATCGTCTTCGGCACCGCCATCGGAACCGAGGGCCACTCGGGCCGTCACACCGCCGACGACTACTTCAACATCCTCTACGGCACCCAGCTCGCCTACGTCCCCGGCAAGTACGAGCCCGAGGTCTACCCCCAGGGCACCGTCCACCACCTGCACCGCGGCGACGTCAAGCAGTACAAGATGGACGAGGGCTGCTTCGCGCTCGAGTACGCCCGCGGCTGGATCCCGCCCATGCTCTTCTTTGGCTTCGCCGACGGCCTGTCCAGCACCCTCGACTTCCCCACCCTGTGGACGACGACCCGTATCACCGGTCGCGAGATGATTTCCAACCTGCTCAAGGGCAAGTTCTAGAAAGAAGACAACGTCTAGGTATGGGGAGGGCTTCTTGGAAGGTCTCAGTCATGGGCGTAAAGTAGGATGGTTCAAGAGATGGAAATCTTTGGACCTAGTGATGGAGCGCGTATAGAGTGGTTTTTTCTGCTGCTCTCTTCTTGCATATCCTATTCGGCCGTTCCGAACGTTCATATAGACATTTAATAATACCGAGCAGCAAGGCCGCTTCTTTCATCAAGACAATTCCATCTCCTTGTTCAAAAAGAATTGCCGCTACGTTTGTATCCATATGCGCCGTCGGTTGAGATACTTTGTTTGCAAGTGAGAGACATGCATCAATTGCGCGAACCAATGACTATCATTCTCCTGCGCATCTCTGAGGATGAATCTGCGTGTGAGACATCCTTGTCTTGCTAGGTAGCTAAACAGACGGAGCGTGAGACCAAGAATTTTCCGAGCAAACGTCTCCGAGCTTTTCTCATCCACCCGGACATTCCGATATCTGCCCCCTGAGCCATCCGCATCAGAGAAGTGCCAATTCCCCAATGTAACGCGACTCCACATATACGGCCCCCGTTCCTGCCGAGCCGGAGTTAGCGCCGGCGCCGGCCCAGAGTGGAGCCGCCTGGAAAACGTCAATGATGACCTCTTCTTCTTTTGGATAGCGAAACGTTGAACAGAGGGCGTGAGATTGTCGCCTGATGACACGCTTCCAATCGTTGCCATTTCTCGTATGATGCATCTTTTCCCTGAGTCGGAACAAAATACGCGCACCGTATGGTCACTTAACCTAGGCGTCTGACGGCCACATTGTCCGCTGATAGGCCGCCAGTGACTCGGGGTACTGCGCAATCTCTGGCTCCCAAATTCTTTACTACGATTAGAGCTCGGGCTATGCAGTTGGAGGTTCTACTGCCGGCGTCATTCGAAAGGCGATGGAGACAGGATACGCCGTGTCTAAGCTTCCGGGCAAATTTCCCTTTACTGGTGGGGAGAATGTGTGAGGTGAATCAAATTATAACCCATCCCGCCCGGTGGATATTCCTATAGTCGCGAGTTCACACCATCTCACGTATTATGAGCCAACGAGTACGCCTGCAAGTTGTATGACATGAAGAGCGGGCATTGTAGCAGACCGGCGCAGAACAGTCATCGCGTAGTTGTCGTCGACGAAGCACTGGCACTTGGGATGGCCCGGTTTGGCCACACCCGACCATTCGGGTGATTGCCGATTCGGAGGTCACTAGACTTGACGCCTAAAGATATCCTTTTCTCGAATGTTTAGGTGTCAAGTCTAATCGACCGTACAGCTAAAGCACGTCTCAGGGTTTGGTATGTTGAATGATTCGCAGCCGAAGACAACGATAATCACGTACATATATCAAGATCAATCAGCTTGATTACTAAAACAACTATAATACTATTCTTTCTTGACACATTTCCTACAGTAGATACGCAAAGGAGAAGACGCGCGCGAAGGTTCAACATCCGCCAATCTGGTTTCCATCTCGTCTGTACTTCTCTTACACTTGCCCCCTGAGCTCAGGCCTGCTCGCCCCAAGTCCGCTGCCGCTCCGTGTAGTGTTTCCTTCCCCCTCCCCCACGATCTGCTACGAGCCCGTCCGTTCTTTCTTGGTTTTATCATAGCCTGAGTATCCCTGCTTGTTCGCCTTCTACCTTATCAAGAGCCAATCCTTACCATTCTTTCCCCAAGATAACGAGGGTCCCTTCCCGTCTTGATCCCTGTGTCCTTCACGGCTCCTTCAATCGTGTTTCACGTATCGGACCGGAAGAGCCAAGACCATAAATGCGGAAGGCCACCCAACGTCTTCTTATCTCTCCGTACGACTACTCTCCTGTGACGATCACAGCTTCTACGTCTGATTTGACATCAGAGAAACCAAAACACGATGCCAGCTGGGGATACTATTGAACAGTCCCTCTCTGAGTCTCAGCTTAGAGAGGGTTCATACGACATGAAGTACTATGAAGACGTATCTCTCGACGAGAAGAGGGGTATCCAGCCGCGGCCAGATGCGCCGACCGACGAAGAGTTGCAGACTCTGAGGAGAGTTTCGGACCACATTCCCTTCAAGCTCTTCACCATCGCCTTTGTCGAGCTGTGCGAGCGCTTCTCGTACTACGGCTCCGTTATTGTCGTGAGTAGACTCGAGTTCTCCGCTTTACGGAAGAAACTAACATTGAAAGTGTATGTTTTGCGAACAAGTGAAGGTCATACCGGTCCGAGGAATACTGACCGACCCCAGTCACCAACTTCATCCAACAACCTCTCCCAGCAGGCTCGACGACCGGCGCCGCACCCAATGGCCAACCCGGTGCGCTTGGTATGGGCCAGCAGGCGTCAACGGGCATCACGACCTTTAACCAATTCTGGCAGTACTTCATGCCCTTATTCGGTGCCTGGGTCGCCGACAAGTACTGGGGGCGGTACAAGACCATCTGCATCTCCATCGCTGTTGACCTCGTAGGCCACTTGATTCTTATCACCGCCGCTATCCCACCCGTAATCACCAAGCCAGCCGGAAACTCGCTATCGGCACTGCTCGTAGGCATGATGTAAGTGGTATTCTGGCTGCCGTTCCGGATCACCATCGAGCTAACTCTAGCTAGAACGATTGGTTTTGCCACGGGAGGTTTCAAACCCAACGTCAGTCCCTTAATCGCGGAGCAGCTCGAGATTGATCACTTAACCGTACGAACGCTCCCGACAGGGGAGAAGGTCATTGTCGACCCTGCCATCACCATCAACAGGGTCTACAACTGGTTCTACATGTTCATCAACATTGGCGCTCTGGTCGGCCAGATCTCCATGGTCTACGCCGAGAAGTACGTCGGTTTCTGGCTGAGCTTCACGCTGCCGACCTGCATGTTAGCGCTGTGCCCCCTGGTCATGTGGTGGGGAAAGGGTAGATATCGCGATCAGCCCCCGACGGGCTCGGTTCTGGGACCGGCTCTGCGGACGTTTCTCTTTGCTCAGAAGGGTAGATGGTCGATTAACCCTGTCAAGACTTGGAGGAACATGCATGACGGGACCTTCTGGGAGAGGGTCAAGCCTTCTAACTTCTCCGATGCGACTCGGCCAAAGTGGATGACCTTTGACGACGCCTGGGTCGAAGAGTTGTAAGTATTGCTTCGGCGCACTTGGGATGACTCGTTACTAACCTCTGCAGGCGTCGCGGTTTCGCAGCTTGTGCCGTCTTTTCATGGTATCCCATCTACTGGCTCTCGTACAATCAATGTAAGCCTCAAATCTTGCCCTCCCTCCATTCGTAGGTTATCACCCTCATCTAACCCCAACAAGTGAACAACAATCTAGTCTCCCAAGCCGCCACGATGCAGCTCAACGGCCTTCCCAACGACATCCTCTCCAATCTCGACCCCATAGCCCTCATTCTCTTCATCCCGCTTTGCGACCTAGTGCTCTATCCGACCCTCCGCAAGCTCAGGATTCCCTTCACGCCCATCAAGAAGATCGCTTTTGGCTTCTTCACCGGCGCCATGGCCATGGTCTGGGCCTGCGTGCTGCAGTACTACATCTACAAGCGCTCCGCCTGCGGCCAGTTCGCCTCGGGTACCCTACCCAACGGCGACCCCTGCCCTCCCGTCGACATTCTCGTCTGGGCCCAGACAGGTGCCTACGTGCTCATCGCCCTATCCGAGATCTTTGCCAGCATCACCAGCCTCGAGTACGCTTTCAGCAAGGCGCCCAAAAACATGCGGTCCATGGTCCAGGCTGTGGCGCTCTTCATGTCGGCCATCTCCGCGGCGCTAGGGCAGGCTTTCACGCCGTTGAGTACTGACCCGTATCTGGTATGGAACTACGGCATCGTGGCTGTGCTGGCTGGCGTGGCGGGTGTGATCTTCTGGTTCCAGTTCAGGGATTTGGATAAGGAGGAGGATGCGATGAACGAGTTGCCCGAGGGTCGTATTGGGCAGGGTGTTGCTACTGCTACTGAAATGTCACGGATGGATAACAGTGGGAAGAAGGACTGAGACTTGGAGTGTTGGACTATGACTACAAGAATTGCAATCAGAATTGATGAGTTGGTTTTGTTGTATTCTTTTCGACTCTAGACTTTAGCGAAGATGAGTTTCAAAAAGTGAATTTTGCATCTATGTGTGAAACATCCGGCTCTGCTTGATGGCATTCGGGCGACAAGGCTCCGAGAACGATTGTGGACTGGCGATGAAGACCCCTTACGCCTACAGCGACCGTCGATCAGGTGCCAAGATAAGCTGCCAGTCCCCTCTGATCGTCACTGTTTTTGTTATGACCTGTCTCGCCGTGCTTTTTCGGGTACGTTCGTGAACGAATATCCTTAAAGACCTGAGTAGACAAAGTACTCAGTTCGAAAGATAAAGATGTAAGTACTTGGAAAAGCACTGAGCCAACTTCACTTAGAGGAGTCATGTATTACAGCTAATAGGGATGCAATCAAGTGCGAAGTGTCCAGCTTCCAGCCACAACAATACTTGGCTGCCGCCGAGCCTGGCGGGATGGCCCTGGTCGTGATATAAGTACCGTGAAGACAAACGTCTTCCAGGTACTTGGTTTAATCCAAGAGAACATAAGCTGCGTGTAAGTGGCTATTTCTGCTATGATCAAGGTAACGCGAGCAAGCCACCGGAGGGACTTGGCTTATCAGGGGTAATCTAAAGCTTGAGTCGAGCAAGCTGATAAGGATGTGAAATCTCTATCCACCCAGCCCTGGCCACCGTCAGCTCCTTTGCACGCCTAGAAATATGCTCTCGGCTTCTCACCCAAGAAAAAGTAATCTACTGAGTCTTGTGGTAAGACTCTGCGAGTGTTTATGTTGGCTAATGCGTATCAGAGGGTGCGAATAGCCCACGCCCTGCTGGGTGTCGACACCCCACGAGCTTAAGACGAAGGCCTGCATTTCATTCCTCGTCCACCACGCTTTGAAACGCAGCTTCTAGAGCTCTTTGGGCTGGAATGGCAGGGTTTAGTACTGTGCTATGTTGAAATGAGAGCCAGAACGCATTGCTGGGCGATGTGTGAGCGTGGAAGCACACAACAGCCGCCGTGACGAGCGTTACTCTCCCATCAACCAAATTTTTAGAGAAAATGAGAAAAAGTGCCCACAGAGACCCTTCTTGAAGGGTTGAAGTAAAGAAAGGGCTCATTTGGGTTGTGAAAAGTGGCTCTTATTAACCTTCTGGTGGGCGTCTCGAGTGAAATTCGAGAAGAACCAACACACCAGTTAGCTCTTCTTCGTATGCAATATCGTCATCAGGTGGCACTTTGAAGAGTCTCCTATCACGTACGGATACATCAGAGAAGCAAGAGTTTCATTTGTGAAGCTGACCACACACAACTTGCGCCCGCGTGTTTTGACAGCGATCGCAAGCCCAGTGGCAGTCGAATACAGGTGCGATTTGGCTATCATACCACCTTTCTGCTGATAAATTACAGTCTATCTGTATATTTGGGGGACCAGATTGATAGCCTGGGCGAGCTTATGAAACAGAGGTGAGGAGACTGCGTGGGCAGGTACTCTCTGGTCATCCCAGGCCAATTCATAGCGAAAAGACAACCTACAGATGCCAGATGCTGGTAAGCAATAAATAGGAGAGTCTTAAGGATAGATATTGAAGAGAAATGGTTCACGATTGGGAATTCTGAGCCAGGTGCCGGCTTAGCTGTCGATAGGCGACGGCGAAGAACACATTGACTGGATGATCTGACTTCAGCAAATCTACGGAGATCCCACCCCGGAGTCCCCATTGTGCATCTTCATGATAGCAGGAAACAGGACGGGTCTTTGCTGGGCCATGATAAGGAATTGCGGTCAGATCCCCCGGATAAGGGGTATCGGGCAACGCAGCGCGGCGGTGGGCGTCACTTTGTGCCGTTGAGTGATCGGGAGCTAGGGACGGGCCTGAGGAATAGCCTATGCCGATGAGACGATCGCTCATGAGAGAGGAACGCCGAGATGGAAGCTATTCTTGGGCGACTCTGATGTACCTTGAAGTGTGTCCAGGGGCTGATATTGAGCCTGTGAGCCCACGCCGTCACCAAGGAGCAGCATCCGTAGCTTTGAGTCGCTGTCCGAGGTTGACCAAGCTAATTCCTCGTTGCATCTTCCGATCGTACATAACCAACCGCTACAGTATGCAAACAACGGCGCGCCCATTGGCGAGATGGGATGTCGCTTTCAGCCGACTCGTTGCTTGTAGAGGCAATAGGGCCTGGAGGCAGCGAACAATACCTCACCGAAGACTGCATGAATCTCCCCACACAAGCAGCGTCTCCCAGACATGACCCTGATCTGTATTCCGCGCTTTAGGTTTCGGCTCAAGGTGACAACAGACACACAGCGCCAGGAAGCAAGCGGAGGTGCTGGGGGTCCAGAATCTAAGCTACTAAGCCTTTCTTCTTCTTCTTCACATCATCCGGCCGCGACGCATACACGGAAGTAAATCTGTACTTGGAATTCCAAGCCAACAGAGAAAATGTGCTCCTCCGCGCGGCATACAACGAGACCCGTTGGACCACCAAGCCCATCACGAAGAAAAGACGTAATGAGGCGTCATCAGGTTGCATATGGTCCCAGAACTTCCCGCCGAGAAGAGTTTTATGCTGCATGACGGTCGTGGGGGGGACTCCCACTACCGGAGGTTGTCTGCTGGTTCAGGGGGGTTCACAAGGAGCAGGGGAACACGGGAGCCGTAGTACAAGCAGGGTAATGTGTGGGCAACGAAGAGCTTGAACAAGCAAAGCGGGTTTGTGTTGCTGCAGCCCGTAGAGAGCTGAACTCCGTTTCCTGCAGTACGAACGCGAGAGGTAGAGAGTGAGTCGACGGGAAGGCCCAAACCCTACGGACAGTGAGCGGAATCTATCTTAGAGGGAAAGAGATTTCCGCCCTCCCGATTCTCTTATCTATGCCATCTGAAGGACGCGAGTGCCCGTGCTGATGGGCTCCGGAATTCCGTTCCCGGACACCTGTGATAACGAGAGAAAGCTCTCCTCTTCCACGGTCCAGTCGCTGGATACAAGCAACTACAGGGTGACCCTTAGGCAATGTCAACGTAATAACCCTGTGCTCTCCCACGTGGGGTGATGAACGGTTACCGGCGGCATCTCGGAGAGCGAAGCGTGCTGTGTGTTGCCCTTCTAGAAGGAACGTTAGTTTCTTTTCGAATGCATGACGAGGATCTCTGCTTTAGCTTGAGAAACCTGCAGTAGCACATAAGCCCTGTATCCGCAGGCGAAGGAATGGAAGGTTTTCTCAACTTCTATGGGCCGTTCGTCGGATCTCGGACGGGCGAGGTGGTGTGGGCTTGGTCAGGGGTCAAGCCAGATGAGGCGCGTCGCCTCACCCCCCAAGCCCCAAGGGCCCCGGCCGATAAGGGAAAGATCAAGCGCTGACGGTTACTTTGCGCTTGTTTGTGATACAGCTTGTGAAGGAGAACATGGTGGGTGTGCTATAAGGTAGTAATCGATCGTAGTATCTCTGTTGTAATGTGCACGTACCTGAGAGTTGGTGAGAGAGCCCCTGAACTCGGATACATGATCTATCGCATGGATCCTAGGACCGTGTAATGTCGACTCAAAGATTTGTTCCATCCACCGAGAATAAAAACACGCTGTATTCAACGCTATCACGAATCTAATGGACGGGGCCTTGTCCTTGAGCCATATCGGTATGTACAGGTGACGTACATCACGCATCAGCTTCGTCAGAAAACTGGCCCCTCGTCTACCTATCCAACCCGCATCAGAATCTTCCCAGACTCTCCAGCGTAGCACCAATTTCTGTACCGTTTCTTGGGAGTGAATAGAGGGAGGAAGGGTAAAAAAAGACTTGGCTCTCCTTATCGGATATGGAGTCCGGACACTAGAATGAGAGAAACAGTCCGGACCCTCTCCTATCAATCCCGTCGTATCTATCCGTATATCAAAGCCGGGGCCAATCTCACACTACAACGACCGAGCCCCGAATCGGGAAAGACTGACTCGGGAAGAAGGCTTCTGGAAGGAAAACCCCCCTTGCACACTAACTTTGATCATCCATGAACCGGAATTTCCGCGGGGGGAGCTTCGTCACTTCTTGCCATCACTTACATCACAGGCAAAGGAACCAAAAGCAGCGTTTTCTATCGTGCTACGATATCTAAAGATTATATCTATGTGTCGAAGAATATTCCACCAAGGGCTCTAGAAGCTGGAAAAGCCTTCAATGTAGGGCTGGCACCCTTCAACACCCTGCCTTGCCATCTTATCTCCCACGATCCAGACTTGTTAATCAAACTCCAAGGCCGTCAGAGGGCTCCAATAACCTCACATTCGTACCAACATGAATAAACCGCGAAGAACTTGTTGTATGCAATATCTGATGGATGGACAAAACAGCCCACGTAGAGTACACCGGCCGGTCTTCCCCTCGGTCAAGACCACCTACACCGAACCCCTCCTGTCCCATCCGTGTAAACCTAAACCCAGAACCCATATGAAGTCATCCCATGCATCTCCCGGGGCCCTTGTGCACATCCTCGGCGGGCGGGCGGCGGCGGCAGTGGGCGGCAACGCCAACCACCCCCCCGCGTCAAGGTACCGCCCGCCCGTCGGTGCGTCGGTGTTGCCCGTCTCCCCAACCCCCATGATCCCCAATCCCGCGCGGTGCAGCGGTGCTCACCGAAAAAAGAAGTGTGGGTTCCACGGGGGTCGCGCGTTGTCGACTTTGACTCTTTTTGTAAAGAGCGCGCGCGAGAAAAGGATGGAAAACCCCCACGCTGTAGAACAAGGGGGGGTAATGCTATGATCAGGGGGAGGGAAAAAAGCATGGAGCGAGGAACCGATATCTGTACCTTATAAATGACCTGGGTCGTTCAACCGACGACAAGCGCTCTCATAAATGAGGAAATTCTGCCTTTTAAACTGGTTGAGGCGCCCTCCTACCTACTTCACTCACAGGTTTCCTTCCGTCTCGTCTTCGTAGGCTGCAATGCGGTTTGAAGTTGAACATTGTCTTTATGTATTTTGTGATGAATAGGTACCGTTTGAGGCCTATTGCCCTTCTTCTCTTCTCGAATTCATCCCCCATCGCTTCGTCATGAAGTAAACCAAAAAGCCCAATAACCAGAGAATAATCGCCCGGGAGCTACCTGATGCACAACTAGCTGCCCTTTTTCTTTTGATTTTGTCGACCACGCAACGCCATGCCAGCCCATTTGAATGATATCGAGGAAAAAGAGCCGTCATCGCCATCACATCGACTGGCTCCGCTCAGACAGGTCTCAACTCAACCCCGACTTGGGGGGAGATACGCCACCGCCGGGCAGCAAAGAAAATCGACTCCCCAAACGCACGTTATTTTCCGAACCGTTTTCTTCGTCGTTATTCAACAATCCTCGGCACCTGGACGCCGCCGCATGCAATGTATAAGTCGAATGTGTTTGTGTCGATGACACGTGTAAAGTCGTTCGAGCTCAAGGCCGTCGAAACCAAGTGGTACCGCGTCCCGAACTTCAACGTGTCCCGGGTTCATGCGAGCCATTCCTCCTCGTCTCTCTTCAGGCCTCTCATCGTCAGGCCTTCGTCTTCTTCGTCGGAATACTCCTCCTCTTCCTCCTCATCTTGTTGTTGCACTTCATGATCCCGCTGGTGAACTACTGGCGCAACTTCCTCCTCGGGCGCCTCTTCCTCTTCCTCCAACATCCACGTCAAGCCGTTGGCTTGTTCCTCCAACGGGAAAGCTTCCTGTGCGTATTCTTCCAGACCTCTCGGGCCCTCCCAAAGTGCCATGGACTGAGTAAGGCAGTTTTCTTCCAGCTCAGCATCTCCAAAGTAGGGAGGTTGCTTTTTCGGATCTTCGTGGCCGAGAGAGAAGAGCTTCTCCAGCGCCTCGAGTTGTTGACGGTAGCCATTGGGGATCTTGACCTTGAGCTCGATCGGGCCCCGGATGTACTTGACTGGCCGTCCAACACCTCTCGCAAAAGCCTCACAGGCCTCGCGTGGAGTCAACATCTCCCAAGCCAAGGCGACACGCTTTGTGCGCCACTTGGCGACACCATCCTTGAATATTTGCAGGATGGAGGGACCAACGTCGTGCTCAGCATCCAGCCAAGGCAGCTTCACATCTTCGTGGAATGGGGCTTGCCAAGTGAAGGAACCATCCTGCTGGAGTTCCATGCAGAAGAGCGGGTAGGGCAGCGAGGTGAAGTTGTTGTTGTAAATGCCAGTGTACACAAAGGTGGCAGGCATGCCAATGGAGCGGACGTACTCTTCGACCTGGTGCTTGGCAGCCCAGAGAGGAAGTGATGGCCAATCCGAGCTGTATGCGGCATGATCGGGCATCGTGGAGTAGACATAGTGTTGTACGCCAGCCCTCTTAGCGGCGTCGGCGAGTGCCTTTCCAATCTGGAACTCATCTCCATAGAAGGTGGTGTTGATGAAAGCCAGCTGAGTACCGCGGAAGAGGTCATTGATCAGGTCGTGGTTTACACCAACACCGGAAATGGGGCCGTTGGTTGTCACGTCTCTGTTGTCCGGAGTGGGCTTGTGTCTAGTGTACAACTCGCCGACAAGGACGGTGACATTAGGATTTGAGTTGACTTCGGTGGCTACGACGCCTTCGAGATTCCGCAGCTGAGCGCGGACGTGGTAGCCCACGGCTGTGGCAACTCTGATGAATGATGCAGCCTGACGACCGCTGGCATTGATGACAGCAATCGTCTTGTTCGGGGTGGGCATCGGACGCTTAAAAGGGCGGAAGGTGAGGGAGTTGTTTCTTGAAGAAGACAACGGCGATGCGTCAGAGTATGATGAACGCGAGTGCTTGTGTGTCCTGACGGCGCTGTAGACAGCTGAGTCGCCGTGGTAGTGGTGATTTGAGTGATCCTGCTGTTGGTGTTGCTGCTGTTGCTTGGCGGGTCGGATAGGGATCCCAATCCCGTTGAGTTGGGAAGGCATCAGAGTCACCATCTGAGAAGTCTCGGACATGTACTGCTCTTGCGGGGAAGAGCAGAGGCTTTGGCTGTGCGGCCGGCACAGAGTAGAGGAATTTTTTTGAGTCGAGAGAAAGGGTTGCTGCAAGGGCTTGTCGTCAACCCCGCTATTTCCCCCAGAGAATGCGCTGTAGGGAGGGTGTAAGTGCGGCCTCGGTTTGTGGAGAAGGGCGAAAAAAAAAGAGAGAGGGCGATGTAGTGGTAGGCTGGTTGTCCCGAAAACGGCTTCGTCGATCGTTCAGTCGGATTCGATGGATGGATGGGATTTGTTTTCTTAAAGAGGAGTATCAACCATGACAAACCGATACGTAAAATCCCGCCTCGAACCTATAGCAAGCCAGAGGCCTTATCGCGGAATAGGGGAGGACTGAACGGGCCAAGTGCAGGTCTCTGCGCACGCGACGTCGAGAGAACGCGGAGAGAGGCAGGCGTTCGGAGTAAAGGTGTGGACGGGTGACGGGTGACGTGACGGGGTGCGTTGTCGAAAAAAGGAACAAGAATCAAAATGCGGTCGGTTCCTGAAGCCGTGGACCGGAATGATTCAAGAACCCTGAGGGGTCGGTTGAGGAGAATGGCGAGATACCTTAGATAGCAATCAAACCCGCTATCAAAACAGCGAGCTCCTTATTTTGGTCGATGGCGGGGTTAACCCCAGCAAACAGCCAAAAAGCCAAGATCCAAGAGATGGACACACGCCTGTTCAGGCCAAAGGTCGATCAAAAGATCTGGGGGAATGGACGGATAGCAAACTAGGCTGCGTCCGTCGGCGGAGGCGGCGAGGGGAGAGGTAAGGTATCCCGTCAACAAGGGGGGGGAGGGGTGTGGTAAATGGAAGTGCTAGACTTTTTGTCGATGCTGCTGATAAGGGAAATTTGGCGAGGCGAGGCAAGGACTGCAGGCGAGCAAGATATCTCCAGGATTGTCGTACGCTCTCTCGTATTTACCCCGGGTGTTCCTGAGTAAGTGGCTCGAGGGTTGGGACGTTGGCAGCTGCAGAAGCTGTAAAATGGATAGAGGGGTGTCTAGATGGGATGAGACAGCTCTCAATGGTGTGCGGATAGATTTGTCCCGCGAAGATTGCAGCCAGCGTGGATGATGAGGAGAATGCGTGTGCGAGAGACAAGAGATAAAGCGTGCGAGAGTGATTGTGAGTGACAGAGCGAGTTAGTGAGGATTTGGTGTGTGTGTGCGAGTGTCCCCTGCCGGTCTCAGTCAAGTGAGCAATTGTTCTAAGTCGACTTGCCCACTCAGGAAAGCTCCGGGATGACGGCAGGTGTGCGTGCTTGCTTGCTGTATGTACTTGTCGTCGTTGTCGTCGGGCTATCCACCGATAATCTGCAACCGAATACTCACGGTGCAAGGAGGCCGTCCAATCGGGGTATATACTGGCTGACCGTGCCCCAGTATGCGCGTTGGAGCGTCACCGGTTAGATTGCCTCGTGGGCGCTGGGCTGGTCGTCTGTAAAGAGGCCGGCCTAGGTGGGCAGGTTGGGGGGGGTAGTTCGGCGTGGAGATCCGATGCGAAGCTGGCTGATTTCGGGGTGTGCCTCACCAGCGGTGAATGGTTTGAGCCTGGGGGTTGGGTGGCAGCCAGAAAGGGAGAAAATAAAGAGGTCCACGGTGCAGTGGATAACGGCTGGATCAGATGATGTTCCTTGGGGTCTTGGATGGTGCCGTTTTGTGTCGCGATGGCCTTCTGCTTGTGTCGTTGGGCGGCTCTTTTGCCTACAGAACGACTAGGGCGAATCTGTAGAGTGGTTCGGGTAGAAACAGGATGGGGTTGCCTTATGTGAAGTCGAACCTTAAGGTGCTTGAGACGACCGGAGCAGAAAGTCCAGGCTGTATCCGTACCTGATGCGAAAAAGGTAGGTAAAGTCGGGGCGTTTCTTTCGTTTTCGAGTATGAAAGAGAAAGCCAGGCCAACGATCCAACACTTTGAGAATAAAAGGTTAGGAGGAAGGCAAAGACCAGATGACCTCAGATGGAGGAGTCTCCAAGCTTTTGATACCGGTCCTAGTCAGTCCGTGTGGTGATTTGACCAACTGGAAACGGACAAGGTATGCCGCGATGTTTCTGGGCCGTGCTGGTGGTGCTGGTCCTGGGCCAAGAGACTGGTGATGATGATGGGCGAACAGGAAGACAGGCCGAAGCAGAGTGCATGCAGTTCGACCAGAGGAGTGTAGCCAGTGGGATGGAAGGACGTGCGAGGAAAGAGGGTGAAGAAGAGGCGTAACCGTGGATTCGGTAGATTGATAAGTCAAGAAGCGGAGGGGGAGGGGAATAAGTGTAAGATAAGTATGTATGGATAAGGTACTTCAGGTAGGTATGTATGCGGGTGTGGGAGAAAAGGTGTGTGACGGGAACAACCTAATGCTGTAAGTAAGGAAGAGTGTGTGATATCCAATCTTCTTGGGTGATGGAAAGCAGCAGCAACCGCGAGCGAGGTTCTCAGTGTAGAGTTAGTCGGCAAATGCAGCAGCAGAACAAACACAAACGGGACGGTCAGAGTCAAAAGTAAAATTCCAATACGGAACAAGAATTTGTATTTTTACTGGAGTGGTTTCGGTGGCCAGGGCCAGGCGCGGCAGGACCTTGCGGTTGGCCCTTTTCTGTTAATAATTGAATCTTCGCCGGCGGCCACGAGGTTGAGCACGTTGCGTTTTCTCATTCGAACCTTGATGCAAGCGCAAACAACGGGGCCCCATCGAGCGGAAACACCACACCCAGCCATCAAGCCATCATCCATGGGGCCGGAAGCACGCCCGGATCCCAGAACGTGCCTGGAAAGAGGGGGGGGGGGCCTACTCGCGGAACTGTGAGAACGCAAGAACAAGACGGGATGAGATGAGATGGAAACACTGGGAGTGCGATATGGGGGTTGTGGTTCGAGTAAGTAAGTACTAAGTAGGTAATGAGAGAACTCTGCTTTTAACCACTGATGATGAAGAGCCGGGAAAGCATTACCACGGCCATCGAGTAATGACAGGGTAAGAGGTGTAAAGCGGAAGATGCGAGGGGGAAGTTAAGTGGGATGGGGAAACACCTCAGTATCCGTACCTACTAGGTAGGTAGTAGGTAGGTAGGTTGTATGGATACTTGAGAAAAGATACGCGGCTACCTCAGCCGGTACGGTGTCGAGGTGGGAGCACGTGTACCGCATTACCTTCCCATTCCATCTAGCACGACCTACTTTTGTTACTTTTGTCTCTTTTTCCTTCCACTACTGCGTAGGTAGCCGACTCCAGTCCCTCACCAAACAACTTCCAGGAGCTACGCCGTTGTCTGTACTTTCCAGGGTGTACCGGAACCACGTCTGCTACAGCGCAACCAGTAGCAGGCCGGGATCGATGACTTGGTCACTGAATCGGGCGATGCATCAACGAGACGGGGACTTCTGGAGCCGTACTGGAGCAATTCTCCAAAAGAGGGGCCGCTCTGGACGGGTCCTGGAACGGGACTACGGCGGGCAGGCCCTCAGTCCATTCCGTCTCATCCCTCAGGGCAGGTCTTTGTGTCCATGTCTCATGAGCGGGAAAGAAAACTTGGAAGGCGCAGATGTATCCGTAGTGGACCTGAGGAGAGATTCTGAGAAAGAGAAGGACCTGGAAGAAAGATTACTAGGGCCTCCCCAGTGCCCCATTTGCAGCAATTTTTCTCTTCCCGTGAAGCCTAGCACAGTAGGTTGGCTTTATTATGTAAGAGCATGGCCGCGGTTGGCTCGGGGTTTCGCTTACACAGTTGCTCTTACCTACTGGGAAACTCCTCCAACTTTTTTTTCTCCTCAGACAGTCGGACCTCTCACCATCTGTCCCCAGTCTTTTTTTCTCTTGCGCAATGCTGCGGCTTCAGAAAAATTTTCCTTATCTTTGGCAACTTTATTACCCTTCTCAGTCTAACCTGGAAAGCACCCGCGCCGCAGTCACTCACGGCGGAAATCTATGCAACCAAGCCCTGTAATGCCGCCATTCCATTGTCTCCCAAGGCGTCAAGGACATCAAGAGCGGTCACGATGGAGAGAGTACATGGGTACAATACCTTACAAGTTACTTACAACCTTTGGGGCATCTTATCATCCCTCCATGCTACCCATGGCATAGGTAGGTAGTCGTACGTCGTACGTCGTACGTACGTTTTGCATCAATGCCATATTGAAGTATCAATGTGGCCCTCCGATATGCTCACCGACTACAGTCCACTCTGTACGCCCACTGCCTGTCAAACACGAACCTACCTAGGTACCCTGACGGGCCTGACCTGCCATCACATCATCACATCAGACCGAGACATCCGCCCATGGATATCGGGTGTCTGCGCCTCTCTCCATAAGGTACCGGTCCCTCATGCCTATCTGGACGGACACAAATGCTTGCCCGGCTCGGACCATGGCATCAGATAAGGGCACCTTGATGAGTCCGACTTTGTCGATTCACGGGCCCTATTACGAGCACGGTCGTCCATCACGGGGTCCTTGATTTTAAGCACTACTGCGCCGGTCAGCCCCCGGCGCAAATCAGTGTCTCCACATACTGTCAACTGGCGCGTCGTCAGGTTGGTGATCGGAGTCAATCCCGATGCCACAATACTCTCCGAACCCTGTGCAAACTTTTTCTGGCTCAGAGCTCCACACGACTCGCAAACGTGATCCAAAGAAATCTGCATCATCCACCATCACAGAGCCCACCGCTTCGTTATTACGTCCAAAGCTCGAGCCTTCAGACCATGCCACCACGGATACCAAATGGGCATAACCCTACTTCGTACACATACGTCTGTCCCCAATGCTCGACCAGGTTCTCGCGGTATCTCCCAGAGCCCCCTTCTACGTACGGAGTACAGCATGGCCCCCCTGGCCCGGACGGCTGGGTCCCACTGCTAGCTCCCAGGCAGAAGAATCATCGAATATCGCAATCCTACGCCATGATGGGCAAATTCTACTGCACAACCAGACACCATTCAGGATCTCCCACCCACCACACATGCAGACACTAGCATCTGGGCTCTAGCCTCTAGCCTCACTCTCTGCAGGTCTGAGATTAGCCTCTTCGCTGAGCTACCCGTGCCACGCTCCCACCGGTTACAGCGCTTGCTGCATCACCCGGGTTCGACCTAGCACCGCTTCACAACGCCGCCTATTTTGTCTTTGAGGGCCCTTCATGCACGTCGGCTGCAGAAGCGTCACGTAACCGCCTTCACGGAGGAGCACTCACGTCTAATTCATCTTTGCTCGAGCCTGACGCAGGTAATGCCATTGGTCATGGGATCGTCGTTGTTATCAGCCAATTATGCTGTTGTATGATGCGACATGGACTACGACGGGCGTGGAGGGAAAGGACCAAGGTAAAGGCGCTGTCGCCCGTGTGCTCACATTCAAGTCCACAGAATTCCGGTTCCGATGACGTTCCGACTAATGACATTGGACGTGAGTAGACACCCTCAAAGACCGAAGAATGGCCTAGGCCAAGCCGCAGGATTCAAACGCAACCCAGCGGGGTATCCCTGAAGGCTAACGCGGACTTTGAGGCGGAACCTGCTTCTGCTGAAAGTCTAGACGTGCAGCATTTGTGACCGTTGTCTACTAGAACTTCCGTCATCAACGATCGGATCCAGTGCCTTGGGACGAAGCTCAACTCCCTTCTGAATGCGGTCCGGCAACGAGCCACCGGACATGGCGAGACAATAGGCTGGCGGGCAACAACAAAAGAAGCAGTCAACCTCAACCTAGCTGTCGGAACTCGGGAGGCGCCAGTATCCGTAATCTGATTGACAAAGAGCTGAGACGACAGGTCAAGCACGAGCAAGAATGCGCCAATGACGACCCAGGAATCGCGCAATGCCGACCTTGCTAGCACCGCATTTTCCTCATTACGTACAAATAGAGCCAAGCAAACCTCCCAGACGACCGCCATGCCGTCATCAAGCGAACCAACTGGCGTTCCGTACTGCTCATAAGCCAACGTTTCCCCTCCCTCTCCGAAGTGGGCATCTCCGCGGAGGAGCCTGCCAATCTCCAAATTTGCGCGCCCAAGAAGCTTGTTACTGCGTTCGCGGTCTGGCCGTCTCCAAAGGAACTTGGCTTTTTGCGTAACACACCACAATGAGCCAAGAAAAAGAAGCAGCCATCCAGCATGAGAGCGAGCTCAGCTCAAGGGAAAAGCGCCACTGGGCCCCCAGCTGCTCCAGCCTCCAGATACCTACTGCTACTAATGCAAACAGCCCCCGCTTCGTTGTCGTCAAATCTGCGGGTTTTGCGGGGAAGTTGGCCCATGCCTCGTAGGGCACCGTTGCACGCCAGCTCCCTCGTCGGCAACGTCGCGCCCTTGAATGAAGAGTGTATGGGGACGATGCCGGCGAGACGTACACATGTAGGACCGAAACACGCCCTAGATGGCTCTCGCCGTTGTCGAAGACGACATTGTTGGGATTCCTTACGCACGTCGCCGCCGGCCACTTCCACCGGCCCACCAAATTTACGTTATAGTATTCACCGTGTGTCGACCGCCGAGAGAACCCCTCATCGAGCTTGCAGGGTCCAATTCCCCGGAGGACGGCCGCTCATCGCACACCATCGGTCCAGCCAGATGTTTAGATATTGGCGCGGACCCGAAGGAGAAGGAAAATCCGGGGTCTATTGTGAAATGCTGTCCAACGCCGACCTCGCGTCTATTTTCAAGTCACCTGAGCCGACCTTTTTTTGACATCCCTGCCAGCTAGCCAGATCCATCAGGGCAATAGACTGCTATCCCCCACGGGCCCATCGTGGTTGTGGGCACCGATATCGCGTGTTGGGGAGAGAAAACTTCACGAGGCCCAGTTGGCACCTAAGCGAGCCAGTTACTGTACTAGGGCCGGAGGTATTGGTGGAGGGGCTTTGTGTCCAAGAGGAGGAGCTTCTTTGGGAGGAGCTCGCGGAGCCGCAGCCCCTTATACCCCTTCTGGGTCGGCCAAGCGCGAGGACGATGCTTGTGTGCCCCAGATCAGCTCCGTTCAGCTGCCAAGTCTTCTGATATGTAGGCCTGAGAGCTCGCTGTGCTCATCAGCATGAACGCGGTAGGCCGTGACCTCAGCGTGACTATCCCAAGCTTGGATCCCATGCACCAGACGTAGAGAAATCAAAATCGTCCGGTCCCAGTGTCCGTTCGAACCATGGCTGGGACGCGTCCAGTGACTCGAGACCGACTGGGTCATTGTGAGGCTGGGCCATGATGTTGTCAAAGTATCGCTGCAGATGTCAGTCAGATTGTACGGCTTTGCTTGCTTGGTGAGTGGCGTGAAACGTACCCAGTCCATCTCCTCATTGCCAACCGCCGCCCATCCACGATCGAGCCCAGGTTCACTTGGCCCGAGGCCCGACGTGACAAACTCAAAGGGCTGGAAGCGACTCGTCGTAATCGTAGGGAACGATGTCGAGTCTGTAAGATAGTTAGCAGGTATGCCACTACAGGGGGTATCTTCACAGCCGCACCATTGATTGAAAGACCGTCGAGGAGCTGTTGGTCGTCTTGGGCGGATCGAGCAGCCGATTCCGACCCGTCACTCTGGCGAAGTCCCGACGCCGACGACACCTTTGCGCCCCCGTTCTCTGGGGGAGAATTCGGCGGCGACCCCAGCTTGTTCAGCATCGTTTCCAGGATACCCGCCGTCTTCCTCACCTCGGGCACGCCGCCGGCGATGGCGATCCAGACGGAATACGACCTCTGCAGGAGGTGCAAGAGGTACGCCCTCGTCGGCGGGGGATTCGTCTCCGCCATCCACACGGGCGAAGTCGTCGTCGTCGTCGCCGTCGCGCCGGTCTTGCCGTTGTCCGCGCCACCCCAGAACGGTTCGTGTCCGATAGCGAGGTAGATGATGGTGGCGGCCAGGAGGAAGTCGTGCACGGCGAGCGAGGAGACGAACCAGCCGTTCTGGCTGAGCATGTTGCCTGGCTGGCAGGCGTGCCATATCGTGTTTTGGAAGTCGAGGAGGACGACGGCGCCCTCGAGGCACTGCCGGCGGGAGTAGTCGTGCTCGCGGCGCGGCGCGGGGTCGAGGAGGAAGCGGCGGTGGAGGACGCAGCGGCTCTTGTTGTAGAGCGAGGCGAGGCCGAAGCGCTGGATGATTTGCATGGGCGGCGTGGTGACGCACTCCTGCAGGGGTTTGACCATCATGAACTGCGGCACGGCGCGCCACGAGGCGTTGAGGAGGTCGTCGAGGCGCATCACCTCGGCGTAGGGCGGCGGGGCGAGGAGGTGGGACTGCCGCGCGACCTGGCCGAAGACGAGCATCATGGCGGACTTGTTGATGGGGTAGGTCATCTCCGTGTAGTCCGTCGCGGGTCGGGCCGGCGGGAGCGAGAGGGTGTCCTCGTCGAAGTCCTCGTCGACGAGGTTGCGCGGGAGGCTGCAGTCGGCGTCGATGCCGTTGAGCATGCTGGGGAGGCCCATGTGGAAGGAGACGAGGAGGTCGAGCTGGACGGCCATGTTCCACATGCGGCGGCGCATCTCGCCCTCGTAGGGGGAGATGGCGGTGCCGGCGGCGAGGAGGCGGTCCGGATCGCGGTGGAGGCCCATCTTGAGGAGGAGGCGGAGGCAGACGGAGGAGAGGACGTAGCAGTTCATCTGGGCGGCGCGGGAGATGATGAACTCGGCCTCGACGTAGAGGATGAAGGGCGGGATGGTGGCGATGGTCGGGTGGGTGTAGCGGCCCCAGACGAGGCAGCAGGCGGCGGCGGCGCGGAAGAGCTTGAAGCGGTCCATGGGCGGCTGCGGGGAGTCGACCGAGAGCTCGTGGGGCGCCATGAAGGTCGAGTAGAAGACGCCGAGGGACATGACCATGAAGAGGAGGGCGAGCCAGTGGAGATCGGTGCCGGACGGGTCGGTCCAGAAGTGGGCGTACTAAATATATGTTAGCACGAGTGCTGTTGAGGGGAAAGAGGTTAGAGACTTACTTGTTTTTCAAAAGTTGGTCGATGGACAATATCTGCCGCCTTATCAATACACGCGAAGCCATGGGGTGAAGATCGCGAGAGCCGAGCTGTGGTGTCTTACGTTGTGATGGACTGCGGGAGGAAAAGTACCTCATGATGAGTCTGTCGACAATCTTTTGCTCGGGGAGCAGCTTCAACAGGTCCTCTCTGCTGCGAGGCATGTTCCTCGAGAATAGCATGAGATCCGGGGCCTCGATTTCGTCGGATGGTTCAGGACTCTCGTCGTAGTCGGTCTCCGGCTCCTCAAAGTAGCTCTTCATATCCTCAATCTATCAACCCCCTTAGTAAACCTCTCATCCAGTTCGGATTTCCTTCACGCCTTGAATGTGTCGATGAGGCAGGCTCATAAGGGAGGAAAAGAGAACACAGTAACAAACTTACATCCTCAAGAATAGCCATGAAATGCGTAGCCCCAACATACGTACTCGCCCTACCCCCCTGAACAAGCTGACCCCCAGGCTGCGCGACGCCCTTCTCCTCCTCCACGGCGTCGGCAGCAGCACCAGTAGTCTGCGGTCCTCCTGGTCCCGCTCCCGCGACACCTCCTCCCTCATCCATCATTGTCCTCACCATGCCCTCGAGCCTCTTAAGCCGCGCCGCCATGCCTTTGGCGGGCTTCTGCTTCTCGGGTTTCGGCGCGTAGACGCAGCCTTCCGGGCGGGACTTCTTCAGGCACTGGCCGCACGGCTCGGAGCGGTCGCATTTCAGCTTGGAGGCGCGGCAGGGACCGCAGGAGAGGAGGACGCGGGAGCGTTTTGCGGCGGCTGCTGCTGATGCTGATGCCGAATGGTAGGCGGACGAAGGTCCGGGGCCGGGGGCGGAAGAGTTGGAGGTGGAAGAGGGGTTGCTGCTGCCGCCGGTGCTTGGTCCGGCGGGCGGGGTTGCCTGGTCCGGATTCATTGGAGCTTACGGATAACCCTTGGGTGATTCGCGGAGACCGGACGATTAGAGACTGTAAGCCGTGTCCGATGCCGTGCCCGACGCCGCGTGTGAGTGGGTGTGACGGGAAAGACGGGGGTGGGGCTTTGGAAAGGGGGTGATGCCGTCCGTATTCAGATCCGGAGGTCTAAACTTTATTTGACGTCAATTCCGGAGCCGGATTTTGTTTCGCCTTTGACAACCGCTAACGTTGTTTGTCGTCCTGTGTCAGCGTGTAATTGCGTGTGCATCTAAAAGGGAACCCCGTTTTGGAATGCAGCAGGATGCAAGTCATGTTTGGGTCATTCTCTTGATTCAGAAAAGCGGCCAAAAACCACCTACTAGGCAACTATGAGCTGACGGCTCCATCCGTCGGCCAGTCTCGGGGATACGGCTTGGTTAACCCCGACTATTTAAACAACCACCAAGGTTCCATACCAACAATTACAAAGTGCCAATCCACGATGCACAATGGCTGGGTCGAATTGCATCACGACCCGACCTTTTGAGGGAAAATGCCAACAAAACCCAAAACCCAGATATGCTTTTACTTCTCCTTTGCCGTGCTCCATTTCCAGGGCTCGGCGCGCCACTCGATGCGGCGATCTTCTCGATTTCCACGGTTTTGATATCGCCTTTCCTTGTCGGGAGATTGAGCTAGCACGGCATTCAAGCCCTTTCTTCAGCTTGACAGTCCGATTGTCGTACCGTTCAAGCGACTCAATGTTCTCTCCCGCGCTGTTGGGGTGACCGTGATATCCCTCCTGTATCGTTGATCCAAGCTTAAATCGGGGCATCGGGCAATCTCTCGATGGTGTACTTTCCACGTCCACACTTCATAATAGGAACACCGGGTATGCGACGGAGCTAGAGAGATTGATATCAGCATCGTCGTTCACTTCCGGACAAGGTTGAACATACTCTAGACACAAGACCCTTATCGTTGGTTGCGACGAGATACACTCTGTCTTTGGACACCTTGGACACCTGGGAAACGTTAATCAGTATTTCGACATAGTCATCTGATGATGTAGAATTCGGAGCCTTACGAGGCAGTCATCGGCGTACACCTGAGAGGAAACGTGATTAGCATAGGAAAATCGTGATGGGGCTCGCAGTGGACCTTACTCCTTTGTGTGTGCACTTGTGTCGTTCGAAACGGGGGTCGCGTGCTACTCTGAGAGCAAGGCGGAACTTGGGACCAAGCTTTTCCAACTCGGCCATGACACAGTCGGTCACGATGGGGTGGCAGGTAGCTGGCTCAGACGTCAGTTGGTGCCAACAGAATTCGTGCGGTGCCGTAACCTACCGTAGAGACAGTCCATCATGGTTTCTATTACTGGCAACTTCATCTGAACGGTGCTAGGAGCAGGTTAGTCGACGAGGGCGTGAGGTATACGTTAGACCAGGCTTGTCGTACCGAGAGAAGACTGGAGTATGGTTAGCAACTGCGATTCAGAGGTAGGTAGGGGGCGGCGGGGCCTTACATGAGGTATCGACGAGGACGCCATAGGGAGGCACGAGACTTGAGTTGCTCTCGAAGAACATCTGGGAGGGGACCTGGGGAATCTCCCTGACGATGGTCTCGCCATCTGGACCGCCTCTTTCACGCTTCGCCTTCTGCTCGGCCTCTTCCGCCTTCTTCAGGTTCTCCTTGCGCCGGGCATCGTTCTTGCCGATGACTCGCTTGACCTAGTAGGAACGTACATAGTTAGCAAACTTGTTTGCAAGTGTCAGTGTGAGAGAGACGTCGAGCTTCCAACGCCCGGTGGTAGGTATCGCAATTATCGTGAACCTTCGCTCGGAGAACCAAAATGTTCTTATCGATAAGAATGCCGATATTTTCTTTGCGATGCGCGGGAGGTTTGGCGCAAGATAGGGACGGGCGAACGTACTTCACCAAATTTTCTGGTCTTCTTCTGAACACCCATGGTGTCGGTCTCGTGTGGGCAATCCGGTACAGGTCGTCGTCGTCGTAGTCTTCGAGTGGAGGAGTACTGGCGTCTGCGAGGCTGGACAAGGCTGTTGCGTTGACGTTTTCCTGAGTTTGGTCGCCCGGCGCATGTGGCGGGGCCGAGAGCTGGGAAAAAAGTTTTCGGTGTAGGATGGACGGTGCTCTCGGTGTGCGGCATCCAGATCCCAGGTGAAGATGCTTCCGGTCTGTGCGCTCGGTGAAGACTTTGGCGAGGCCGCGCAGCGTTTGGGAGCAAGGTGGGCCCTGGGGAGGGTGACCCAGAGCAACCGGAATGAGGGGACAATGAGACTCTCAGGGACCGAGGTGGACGAATGGCAGGGGGGTCTCTTCCTCCTCCACGGCTTTCTTCTGTGCCTCTATCCGCTGTCGGGCGTTGTTGCTCTTCTACCTAGCGTTGCAATTTCCTCTCCCACCTCAGGAAAAGCAAATGATCGATCAACGGCGCTCAAACAGCCGGAGGCAAGGTGGGCGTTGCGCTGGAGTCTGGACTGGTAGACTGGTGGTGCCTTGCATCAGCACTTCTGTGCACTGCCCTGCGCATGCATAATAGCAGCCCATTATGATCAGAGACGGGTCTGATACCCGCCGCGCCCATTCAAGAGCTTGCCTTAGTCTGAAGCATCCGGCATGAATTGCGAACTACTGGAGCGCTGGAGGTCTGACGAACGCGAAGACGATGCGAAACAGCAAAGATAGGGGACCACCGGGACTCTAGTGGAGAGGAACGGGGCATCATTCGCATTCCACAGCGAGGCTCGCCATCACTTCACGGCCCATATTTTTTTCCAACGAGTTATGAAGATCTTTGGCCAATATTGGGTAAATGGGTGGGCATCTGCCAGGTACGCTTACACGCTTACCCCGGATGGATGGCTCGTGTTGATGATGGTTGCGACCTGCAGCCACTGTAGCGCATGCTGGGAGCCTGGGAGTGATGATTAGTGGGATCAACCCTCGCCTGTTGGACACCTCAGTTTTCAATACGAGAGCGTGTGGGCATACGAAGGAAGTCGGAAGCACATCATCATCAAGGAGGGCGACTTGTGTACAGTCCTGCAGCATAGTGTGTATAGATGACACACCGTGTCTATTTCCCCAGACTTGCGCGTCTCCTGCAGGCCAAAAACCTGGCTTGCATGAGCTGGCTGCACTGTGTCTGCATGTCTCTCTCCCTCTCGCATTCCCAGGAAATGCCGCCCAAATGCACAAAAATAAACAGACCCCGACACAGCAGCACGTCAGAACTTTCAGGTGCAGCCTTTGGAAATGCGCCGCGCCACAGCCCAGGCCCCAAGGGCAGGGACGAGAACCGCCCAGTCCGCTAACACGAAATGGATGCTGTAGACTGTCGCCTGTTGTGCTTGCTCTCAGCAGGTTCCTCCAGAGCAAGCAAAGACCCTTCCTCCTTTTTTCCCCAGGCCCGTTCCCTGCTGACCAGGGGCCCGCCTTCGCCATCCATTCCCTTTCTCTTCCCCATCACGCACCCTCATCCCTCCCGTCCCTCTCCTGCTCCCTCCAACCCTTCCTCCCTGACTGACTCCCTCACGACAAACTTTGGAAGCCGCCCACCCAGCAAACGATCAGCCGGCACCAGCAATGTTCTAGCCAGCGGGACCTTTCCTTCTTTCATATTGCTTCGCCTTTCCGGTCTGCATACGCAACTGCCTCGATACTTTCGTTCGATTCTCCCGAATTCATCGCTTCCAGCCTGGGCCAGCTGAACGAACCGAACCGCCCCATCCGGAAGGACACCACAACGACGACTCAGCCCCGTTCTCTGCCCACGGGTATCGACACAATCGCCGTCATTGACTTTCTTTCATCGATTCGACAACCGAACAGCATAGAGTGTCCAGACCAGAAGTGACCGACGACTGCATCACCTTGACTTTGGAGCATCGCATCCCACCGTAAACACCGGACCCCCTCGGACGTAACTGAATCGACCGACCATGGTTTCGTCACGTCATTCGCTGAAGCGCTCGCTTCTCCTGTCCACCTTTGCCGCCTTGTCCCTATTCTCTGCCACGGGTCTTGCGCAAGACAGTAGCAGTGGAGGAAATGCCCAGACCAGTGCTTCGCAGGCAGCTTCGACAGACGATGCCAACACCTCGGCTGCGCAGCCTTCGCGCACCAACGCGGCAACCGCCGTCATCACCAACACCGGCGCCGTTGCCACAACGGAAGCGAGCATCAGTGCTCCTAGGATCACCGGCACCTCCGATTCCACTGGCGATGTCCTCACGGGTCTGCCGTCCCTTACAAACCAGCCTATTGTGACGACATACCCGCCGGCCAGTGTACCTCCCACCAACAACGCTCCTTATATGCACCGCTCGAGCGCTCCTCAAGGAACCGTCTTCATTGCCGTGGGCTCCATTCTTGGTGCCTTTGGCCTCGGTATTCTGATCTGGCGCGGCATCATCGCTTGCCTGCTGCACCGCTCCGTCGCCCGCGCCGCCAATGCCCAGTATGTCGCCAACGACAAGCAGAGCTTCCCTGCCCCTCCAGCGCAATTCTACAAGTATACCGACCGCGAATCCACTCCTTCTCTTGTTCCCAATGGAGGACGTGGTGTGCGTAGAACGCAGCGCGGCCCCATCCCCTCTGCGACGCCGAGCCAGTCGAACCTCTTCTTCTCGCCTACCGCAGCTGGCGGCGGCAATAGCAACAACAATAACAACAACTCGGCCACCAACCGCGACTCTCGTTTCCTTCCTTCTGGATTCTACGCCGCTGCCACCTCGTCTCCCAGTCCTGCCCACGGTCATTCAATAAGTTTGACGAACCTCCGCCCTGAATCACGAGGCCAGTATGGAAGCCGCAACAACTTGAGGGAATCTACGCCTCCGGAATCCCCTTCGTACGGCGCAAGGCGTGACTTCAGCACCAGCTCGGTCAACTTGTCTGCGGCGCCCGGGAACGGACAAAGAGCTCCCAGTGCTTACCTTGAGGATCTGTTAGACGAGAACCCCAATGCCTTCCCGCCAAGCCAGATGCGCCCCGGATCTCGAAATGCTAACAACTCTCCCGGTGGTCGGTTCTAAAGAGAGGGGTTGCTTTCCGTTTGGTTTCATTGCATCTATGCATCAAAAACAGTTTCATTACGTCATGAAAAAAATGGCGAGACGTCACGGCTTGGGGTTTTTTGAATGGTACATTCATGGCGTTTAGGGGTATCATCAAGTTGCATCACTGGTTTGGAATACTGTTTTTAATCATCATCCAGTGAGGCCGGGCACTTTTCTCGGTCCCGGCCTTTCAGCAAGTTTGAGATGGGAGCGCGGGTCAAAAGGCAAAGCCGGCTCCCTTCCCAACAGGGCTGCCGCGCATGGGTGGTTGTCTAGTTGTATTTTGGCCCTGTACACCACGGCAGGCGTGACGGAGCATTAGACTGGGAGTCTTGGTGACGACGATCCGCCGGTGGCATTCTGTCTTCGCTTCTCATCGCTCGCTGGTATATATTCTTTCAATGAGCAGAACTATTCGAAAAAAATATCTTGAAACAATATCGTGTGATGTTTACTAACCATCAAGCTGGAGTTCTTTGTACATGTCGTCACGACAACCGCTGACAAGGTGCTTCTGCATGGGAAACCTTATGTACGGATTACGTCTGAAGTGTATTTCGTGCGGATAGAGATAAAGCTGGTCCGATGTCGTCAGCCCATTTGACTTTTCTCGGCAATCATCCCAATCTATTAAACTTTTTTGACACAACGTGGGCAAGGGGGGTGGAAGCTTTCCGTGGGAAAAAGGAAATATGAGCCTCTTTTCTTACTTCGGATTCGGAGCTGCTACGCTGTGTAAATGGAACCGAGCGGACCGAGAGCAACGTCGCATGTGCGGATGGTATGCCCATCGCCCGAGGTTGTCTGTTTAAACGTGTCCGTGATACTTTACTACTTTTTCTTCGTTTTCTTCCTTGACGAATACAGGATATACAGGATGTATCCCCAAATGTCTGGTATCTCGATATCAACCGAAATTTCGCTTCCCAAGTTATCGAGACCGAGCTGTCGAGACACATACGGCATTACCTCAACCCCAAGGGTTTCTACCACCATCACGAGACTAAAAAAAACATCGCTCACCCATTTACCCCTTGAAGTATCAAAACTTCTTTTTCGCATCCTCGCTTGAAACAGCTGCGAACCACAATCAAGCGTAGGGCGGTACCAGGGTGCATCTACCCGTCGTGAAGCCACCGGATCTCGTCACACCGTTCCAGTGACATGTATCACAATTCGTTCCCTTCCACCCCCCCGTACGACCTAGATCCGGGGAGGACGACGCTGTGGAATCGTGAGAGGGAGAGACATTTTCGGCTCTTTGCTCTCTTGGTCTCACGATGTCTTGGCTGTCCGAGGCTTGCCGACGCCTGGTGGGTTTGCGCTGACGAAGAGCAGCAGCAGAGACGACTGGGTCGCGGGTGGTACAGGTTTGATGAGGGGCTTCAGCGTCACGTTGTATGCGAAACGGTGGTGTGCGGTCTCTTCTTTCTTAACCATTTTTTTTGGTTTCTTTTCTATCTTGTATTACACGCCCTCTATTTACAACAAGACATGCTCGATGCTTCTGGTACATGGAGGCCCGGGTATGAAAATTACTTGTCCCAGACGCTATTTTCCCTACGATTTCTTTGCCTTCTCTTTCTTAAGGGACCCTATTTGTTCTTCCTGAATGTGTTGCATTTTATCTTATCCCCTTACGTTCACTTATCCCACCAGCTCGTTATGTCCCCGACTAACTCGATCCGCCAGCTTGGATCTCCGGGGGAGCAGTACCTTCACTCGCGCCGTGGATATCCTCTAGTCTGATACCACTGCGATCACACATGCTCCTGAAGATACCGCCCTCCCGCTGCCACAGCGCAAGAGGCGTATCCAGCTCCGCGATACGGCCGGCGTCCATGACGCAAATGCGGTCGTAGCCGATGATGGTGCGCAGACGATGGGCAATGCACAACAGCGTCCTGCCCCTGAAGCTCGTGGCAATCGTGTTCTGGATCTTGTCGTCCGTTTCCATATCAACGGAGGACGTCGCCTCGTCACAGACAATGATGCGGCTGCCGCGGACGAGAGCACGCGCCAGGGCCATGAGCTGGCGCTGTCCGAGGGAGAAGTTGAGACCATCCTCTTCGACGACGGAGTCGAGGTGGATGCTGGACGACTCCTTGGACCTTGGATCCTCGAGGTTCGCGTCTGCTGGAACGAGATCGGCCTGTCGCAGGGCGGACCATAGTTCCAGATCCGTGTGCTCGTTGAATGGGTCAAGGTTGGAGCGGACTGTGCCCCTGAAAAGCGTCGGGTCTTGTGGAATGATTGCCAGGCGGGATCGCAGGTCATGGAGACCGATTGTCGAAATGTCGACACCGTCAATTGTGATGTGTCCACCCGATAGCTCGACGAGACGGAAAAGGGTAGACATGATGGACGACTTGCCCGCACCCGTTCTGCCCACAATACCGATACGCTCGCCGCCTTGCACGTGCATGGAAAGACCCGATAGCACAAGAGGCAAGTTGGCGCGGTAGCGCATCTCCACGTTGTCAAAGACGATCTCACCCTTCTCAGGCCACTCTGGTCGGACTTCGATAGTGTGCAAAGGCGCCTCTTCCTCTAGTTGAGTGCCGTAGTACTGGATTCGCTCCACGGCGTTCATGCCGTTCTCAACTTCTGCGAGTTGACGGACGGTAAACTGGATCATCTGCACGATACCGAGAATGTAGCTGAGTACCAGTCCACCAATGCTCGGCGGCACACTGAATCGCGAGGTCACGACGAGGATGCCGACGGTGAAGACAAGAAGGTTACCAATCAGATCGAGACGGGTCGACAGCCAACGCTGATTCGAGAACGTAAGGTAGTACGCAGCGTTCATCTCGTCAATGGACTTTCGCAAGTCAGCAATGAAATGCGTCTTGAGACCATACGCTCGAATGCTGGCAACACCGCTCAATCCTTCACCAAACTTTGCAAAGACAGTAGATCGAAGAACCGACTCGAAACGCTTGACCTCGCGTGCCGATGCGCGGTAGTAAGAAGAAGCGAGGATGAAGAACACAAACAGTGGTCCGAGGGCGATGGCGAAATAATGGAAGAAGGCGATGATGAGAGCGAAGACGGACAAGATCATGGCCAGCGTGAAGAAGTACATTCTCATGGCATCCGTCAAGTTGTTGTCCATCACATCCACGTCTCTTGAGAAGCGATTGGTGATTCGGCCGAGGGGTGTGGTGTCGAAGAAGGACATTGGCGCACGGAGAACCCGTGTCACTGCCTGCCGAAGCATGACCTTGCTAGACTTGGTGCCGAGGATGGACAGAAGTAGCGAGAAAACGAACATTAGGATCGCTTGGAGAGCACCCAGTCCAGCGTATATACCGATGTACTGCCCGTCAGACAGCGGATAACGCTTACTTGTCCAGTATGAAAGCCATAGACTGGTCATAATGTTGGCTCCTTGGGAGAGAATCAGGAGGAAGATCAAAAAGGGTGCGTTGAGGATGGAACCGGAGGCGCGGATGAAGTCTCCGTACACCTTCCAGGGGACGCTCGCCACAGCGCGCTCTTCTTGTTGCATGAGTGCAGCCCCCTTCTTGTTCTTCTTCTTGTCGCCCTGGGGCGCTTCGGCCAGGTTGGTTGGTGCTGTCTCGTCTTCCTTCTCTTCCTGTGCAGTTGTCTCCAAGAGTTGCTGGAAGCCACGGTGGTCTCTCATCAAGTTGTCAAAGGTGTCGACGGCTTGAATCTTGCCACCCTCCATCCAAATAACTCTGTCACATCTGTTCAGAACCCAAAGCTGATGAGTTGCTAGGATCCTGCACTTGCCCTTCAAGAGGCCGAGGATGGCATTGTCGAAGATGTGCCGTCCCACGTGAGCGTCAACAGCGCTTAGGGGATCGTCCATGAGCACGATATCGGAGTCAAAGTAGATGGCCCTAGCAATGTTGAGACGCTGCTTCTGCCCTCCCGAAATTGTGATTCCTCGTTCGCCAATCTCTGTCAGATCTCCGTTCGGAAGCATGGCAAGATCGGGTCGCAGAGCACAACTGGAGCTAGGTCAGTCTGATTCTTGGCAGGGAAGGCAACTACCATGGTGTTACTTACGCGTTAATGACTTCTTGATACCATGCTCGGTCCATGTCCTTTCCGAAGAGGATGTTGTCACGGACCGTGGCGTTCTGGATCCATGCGTATTGTGGGCAAAATGCTCGGGAAGCACCGAGCACAACTTCGCCAGATGTTTTTCTCATGTCACCTGCGAGCGCGGCCAGCAGCGAAGTCTTGCCGCTCCCGACCGTTCCAATGACTGCGACTAGCTCATCCCTCTTGATCTCAAAGTTGATGTCTTGCAGCTTGAAAGGTTCGCGTTCCTCCTCGACAAGCGTGCTCGCACCATCTCCCGTGCTATCGCCAGACGAGGCCAGTGGCTCGTCAGGCTTGGAGATGTTCTTTGCGGGCGCTGACGCTTGAGTCGCAACCTTCTTGCCACCCTTTGCGGCGCCACCTACAGTCTTTTCAGACTCCTGCGTTGCAGTTCGCTCCCAGGTGAAGCTAGCATTTGTCATCTCCAATGCATTCTCTCCCTCTGGCTTGAAAACCACATCTTCCTCTTGCTCCTCCGCCAACAAAAACTCTTGGATACGCTTCAGCGACGACCAGGCATCGACGACTTGACCAAGGACCAGGGGCAGCAAGTTGAGGGGAATCCGAAGACCATTGAACAAGGCCAACGAGGAGAAGACCTCGGCGGGGTTCAAAGCGTTGTTTGTCTTTGCATACGTGACGAAGGAGAGCATGGAGGCGAAAATGGGAAGCGATAGACTGACGGCGTTGATGGCGTTACGGATTGCCAGTAAGATCTGGATGGCGTGAATCTCTCGTTTTCGGATTTCCTTGAGACGGTCAAGGAACGCGGTCTCCCATCCAAAGTACTTGACGAAACGGACCGACTGCAGAATCTCCTGGGTCAAGCTGACTCTCTGATCCGTAACCTTGTTAATGGACTTTCTCCTCTTGAACAAGCTTCTGATGGCTCTTGTCAATAGGGGGATGCCAGCAACCAAAAGGGCGAATCCGGCAAGAGCACTATAGCTCAAGTTGATGAGCAGAACGACGAGCGTGATAACGCAGGAGATGGGTGCAGTCCAGGTCAAGTGGAAGAGAGCCGATGCTTGGTCGATTCGATATGTATCAACGCTCATAAGGTTGACAATTCGACCGTTACCCCATCCCGTGCCATCTCCAGAAACACCTGGCCCTTTGGCCTCTCCCTTTTTCGAATTCTTCTTGGCCTTCTTCTTGCCTTTCTCGTCAACTGGCGGGGCGTTGGCGGCAGCGGCGGCAGTTGCGTCTTTAAGGCCACCAGCTTTGGCGCGCCCTGATAGAGACATGGCTTTTTCGAAGATTACGCTGATGAGGACAGCTCTTGACTGGCCACCAATCATCATGCCGCGGTAGATGAAATGGTTCGTGCCCAAACTCTGGAGAATCT